ACTTTAAATTACAAGAATAAAAAAGAAATTGAGAGCCGGGCGGTGGTGGCGCACACCTTTAATCCCAGCATTTAGGAGGCAGAGGCAGGTGGATCTTTGTGAATTCGAGGCCAGCCTGGTCTACAAGAGCTAGTTCCAAGACAGGCTCCAAAGCTACAGACAAACTCTGTCTCAAAAAAACAAAAAACAAACAAAAAAACAAACAAAAAGAAATTGAGACAAATGTAGTAAGATTTCTATAAAGCCAGCATTCCTGTTAAAAAACAAAACAACAACAACAAAAAACCTGAAAAGCCTCACCAAAGTTTTTCCGAGAAGTGGGCAAGTCTCCTCCCCAGAGCACATTACTTCCCTATGAAAAAAGATACAAAGGGTGGAGCTGATTTGCAGTTAGGTGTGATTAATGGAGAGTAGTAGTCAAGCCTAAGTTTAGGGCCTGTGGACCCTGGAAGCTGGCTCCAGTGACAAGTGCAGCCGACTAATACGTGCCTCGCTGGCCTTATTTTCACTTGGACCTGACTAGGCAATGCAGGTTATCTTTCCTGAGATCATTCAGGATGCCGGAGATGACACGTCCCTATGAGTCCAAAGGCAGTGTCCTGGGAATGGGACCAGATGGCTCAAGGAAAATGTGAATTCTGGAAGGTACTGTCCTGTCTGTGCTACTGCACCCAACATTACACTCCCGATAATTAATTCATGTTGTATTGCATCTTGCTAATGTTTTCATAGTATCCTCTGCTGGAAAGGACTTAAGAGAGCCACCGGTCCTCTGTGATAAAAGTTTCATTATATATAATGCTAACCCTGGACTGTCTCACAGACTTGGGAAACATCTGGAAGAGAAGTAACAACGCCAATGAAGTAATTTCAGCAGGGGAACCCAGTGTTTAGAAAGTGACACTCTGAAACCATTCTTAGAGCTGTTGCAATGGAGACCGAATACCGCTGGAGCCCTGCAAACCTTAAAGGCCATTGTTTTTGTTTTTTTTTTAACTTTTATTTAATTTTTATGTATGAGTACTCCGCATGTACACCTGCGTGTCAGAAGAGGGCATCAGATCCTATTGTAGATGGTCATGAGCCACCATGTGGGTGCTGGGAATTGAACTCAGGACCTCTGGAAGAACAGCCAGTGCTCTTAACTGCTGAGCCATCTCTCCAGCCCCCACTTAAAGGCCATTGTTATTGCTGGGTTTTGTTTGTTTATTGATGATTTTAGATGCAGATTGTTTTAGGGTGGAGAATGTCCTTGTCTCAATTACTTGTATTTCCAGAATATCCAATAAAAGAATTTAACTATTTTAAGACTATATCTCCAGTGAAAATGGAAGTTTTCAATGAAATTAAACCCACATTGAGTTTCTGATGGAGGCATTTTTTTATATAATTTTTTGAGTTATATATTTTTCTCTGCTTCCCTCCTTTTTCTCCCTTCCCCTTCTACCTTCTCCTAAGATCCTTAGGCTCCCATTTTACTCAGGAGAGCTTGTCTGTCATTGCTGTGTTTGCATCCCAAAACTAGTTGGCAGTTCTGTTGCTGAAACACTACACTGGTTGTAGGATATGGCGAAATCAGGCTAGACTGAGTCTTGAGCTCCCATTCCTGCTGGCTAGCTTTTTAGGGAAAACAAAACAAAACAAAACAACAACAAAAGAAAAACCAAAAAACAAAAACACCAGCTGGGCAGTGGTGGTGCAAGTCTTTAATCCCAGCACTGGAGGCAGAGACAGGAGGATCTCTGAGTTCAAGGTCATCCTGGACAGTCAGGGCTACAGGGAAGCCCTGTCTCAAAAAAACAAAGCAAGAAGAAAACAACAACAACGAAAAACACCAGAAGGTACAATGTGGGTAACAATGATTTTTGCTTACATCCATCAGTTACTGCTATTATCAGCCTCAGTTATAAAAAGAAACTTATTTTATTTTTTTTTACTTTAGCTAGGTGGTAGTGGAACACACCTTTAATCCCAGCACTTGGGAGGCAGAGGCAAGTAAGTGATCTCTGTGAGTTCAAGACCAGCATCTACAGAGCGAGTTCCAGGACAACTAAAAAACAAAACAAAAAACCATTTTTTTAACTTTAAATTATGTGCATGCATATGTGTATACATGTATATAGCTGCAGTGGAGGCCAGAGAACAGCAGATTCCCTAGGGCGGGTTCAAAGTTGGTAGTGAGAGTGCTGGGAACTGAAGCCAGAACTTCTCTGCAAGGGTGATATGGATCTTAACTGCAAAGTCATTTGTCTAGCCCAGTAAAGTTTTTGCAGTGATGGCAGACACTCAGAGCTACTCAAGCTACTGAAAGTAAGTGACTATGGCATTGTGGCAATTCTCAAACACAAATGGAAGAAAACTGATCAGACATTGCTATCATACAAGCCACCAAAACACCCCTCCCCCCCAAAAAAATCCCCCAGGGAATGTCCTCAAAGAGGTGAAATCGATGTATCAGAACTAAAGCGGTGGAGTGTTGTACAGCTGTTTCGGTCTAACTGAAAGTTGCTCCCTTCAAGAGAAAGGTGGCCCTTAGGAATGAGGAAGTTCAGAAAGGTAAGACCCATGAAGTCCTTCTTTTAAGTTGTATAATCAGTAAGCAACTACTGTGGAGAAAACATGGTCACCGAGCTCCAGGGCTGCAGTGTTCATGAGCTATTTTCCATGGTGAGGTGGATTTTTCAGTAACTTTTGAGTTACCATGTTCCTGTAAATGACCCCAATAAACTCACTGGTTCATCACACTAGATTTGAACTGTTTCCTTGGTCTGCTGTTGGTGTCTTATCTAGGATGAACATATTTGTTCCTGTCTCTCCAGAAGTAACACAGGACTTTGGAACGCTGAAGACAGACATCATGTGCTTCTCTCTCTTTCTCATCAGTGTATGCATCTCTAATTTGTTTAGCTGTATCTTTTCTGTTTTCTTTCTGAATTATGGTAAGGTCACTCAAAATTCTACTTGTGAGGCACATAAACTTCAAAAGACAAGTACAAGAGCCCAGGCAGGCATGGTGATGCCTGGTTGAAATAGTGAATTCTCAGATAGCTAGAGTTACATAGTGAGACCCTGTGTAAAAAACAACGAGGGGGTAGGGGTACAAGGACATCCATAGTAGCATGGTTCTATAATGTTCATGAATGCAAACACCCCCAAATGCTACCAACAGAAAATTAACAAATTATAATGCATTCATATAACAGCAACAAAACTACAGCTATACACAATACTCACTATGCAATGTTAAGAGCAAGGACAACAAAGATATGACTCCATCTCTATAAAGCCCAATTTATTTTTACTTATGTGTGTGCCCTTAGGGGCAGAGAGTTGCTGAATGTGGGTGCTGGGGACTAAACCTGGGTCCTCTGTAAGAGCAGTAGTGCTCTTAACTCCCTCACTCATTTCTCTAGTCACTATTTTTGAGGAAGGTGCTCTTGTATCACCTTAAGATTTTTGTGTGTATATATGCATATATACTTTGTGTAAGACTGTCTGCCCTGTAGAGATCAGAGGGCACTGGAAACTCCTGGAACTGCCATTACGGAGGTGGGAATAGCAGGTAGCTACAGGGAACGAAACCCAGGTCTTCCGCAAAAACAAGTGTTCTCAGTTGTGGAAGGTTTCTCTGGCCTTCATATATCAGCACCCCCCCCCCCATTCTTATTTTGATACAGGGTTTCTCTGTGTAACAGTCTGGGCTGCCCTGGAACTTGCTCTGTAACCAGGCTGGCCTCAAACTCCAGAGATTCTCCTCTTGCTTCTCAAGTACTGGGATTAAAGGGGTGCGCTACCAACACTCAGCCCATATATCCCAATTTAAACATTCATTTCTTTTTTTGTTTTTGAGACAGGGTTTCTCCGTAGCTTTTGGTTCCTGTCCTGGAACTAGCTCTTGTGGACCAGGCTGGCCTCGAACTCACAGAGATCTGCCTGCCTCTGCCTCCCGAGTGCTGGGATTAAAGGTGTGCGCCACAACATTTATTTCTTGATTGGTTGATTGTCATCTCTCTAAAGCAAATTCAAGCAAAATTACATTGTGAGAAGTCAGAATAGTAGCTACTTGTGAGGAATGATCAGAGGGTATCAAGGTTTCCCAGTGCCGAAAACAATCAGTTTGGATAACAGCCTTCAGGTACTGGCTAAGTGGGAATTTAAACTGTCTATTTGTCTGGAAATCTGCTCGTGGGTTACATTTCAAAACTTTATGAAAATATTTAAGCTTAATGTGGTGGTATTCATCTGTAATTCTACCATAATTAATTCTGTAATTCTCCGGAGGCAGAAGCAGGAGGATCAAATTTGGGGCCAGAATGGGCAACATGACCTTGTTATGTTAAAACACAAAACAACAATAAGAAAAATAACAACAGTCAACCATGGTGGTGCACACCAGTAATTCCAGCACAGGCACAGCAACTCTGAGCATAATCTGACAAACTACAGCAATAACAACAACAGAAAAAACTAAACCACCAAAATAAAAACCCAGAAACATATCCCGATATGTAAATTTGTAGACCCCAAGATAAAGAATATAAAATATACTTAATCATTTAACCATCAGTATAAAGGGTGAATGTTCTTCTTCTTTTTTTTTTTTTTTTTTTTTTTTTAGTTTTTCCGAGACAGGGTTTCTCTGTAGCTTTGGAGCCTGTCCTGGAACTAGCTCTTGTAGACCAGGCTGGCCTCGAACTCACAGAGATCCGCCTGCCTCTGCCTCCCGAGTGCTGGGATTAAAGGCGTGCGCCACCACCACCCGGCTACCATTACTATTCTTGTCTGATTTAACAGTCATGGCTGATAGATAAGAAGCTGTTCCCTCCCTTTCTCCCCAAGGAAAATTCCAAAATACACACACACACACACAATCATCCTATCCTTGTCTTGGGGGCAACTAGATAGAAGTTAGAAGGCGGAAGAAGATATGAGTCTTGCCTTTATCAAAAGCCCAAGGGAAAGCAGGAAAAAAAAAAACAATTAAGACAATATTTCACCACCAAAAAAGATTTTTATTACAAAACAAATTCTAATAAAATCAAGCCTGGTTTTCAACCCTTTCTCTGAATGGAGGCTCCTAGGATGGAGGGGCAGGGGAGACAAAGCAGAGGGTAATGAGAGAACAGAGCAGGCTGACCTCCCCGTGAAGTCTCAGGTGCTTTGAGTAGCCTAGATGGGCTCTTCCAATGGCTCCCGAGAAAGGCAATGTCCTTCCAGACAGGAAGAACCACGAACCACTCCTGTCACCAGAACCGGGCACTGCCGCACTGTTGGACTGGATCCAGGTCTTGACTGGCTCTCAGCAAAGGCCATCCAGGATTACTCAGCCTGCGCAATGGTGTAGGAGAGAAGCCACAGCAGCAGGGGACCCAGAACAAGGACAGCAAACCAGACAGCAAAACTGGCCAGAATGAGTCTCCGGGCCCGGGCCCCCCAGTATATGGCCTCCTCCGACTGGCCTGCCTTATGCCGCTCTTCTGCCTGTGGGGGCAGGTTCTTGGTTAGATTCTCCCCCTGCTTCAGTCCCAAAGTGTCCACTGCCCATTCCACTCTTTGATCTATCACAGCTCATGACCGCACATCCAAACATCTTACATCCTTTCGTTTGCCTTTCTTCTCCTCTACAACACAAACCATTCACTGCCTTCCTGCGTACCTTTCAATTGGCCATAGTCAGCTTAGAAGACTGCACTGGGAAAGTGCTGTTTAATGACTTTGGCTGATTTTATGGTATGGTGCTGAAAGCAGGGCTTGGGCACACCAGCCAAGTACTCTGCTGAATTACATTTCTGGACTGGAAAATACTTTTGAGTCCGTCTAGTCCCATTATTTTCTATCTGTCCTATGTTCATTCATTCAGAATTTGAAATTTGTAACTCTAGTGAGTCACATCCAGTCAGATCACTCAGGGTCCAATATGTATCATCATTTTTATCATCAAGGATTCTTTTTTATGAGTTTGCCCCAGTGAAATTCCTATGGTGACAGGAGGGGTATTTTCTGACTGTCAAGAGGGGTGAGAAAATCCCAGAATGTTATGTTAACTTGAATAGTCTTTCAGGAGGCATACATTGTATGCTGAGCTCAGTGACAATGCACTTAACCATGGGCAAGGCTCTGGGTTCAATTCCTAGTAATGCCATCCCCACCCCAGCCACAAAAAGGGGACAGGCAAATCTTTAGTAACTGAACTTCTTCCACATCCTGGATATTGCTCTCATCACTACTCAACTGTCTGCCTGTAGTTTGGCCCCTTGTGGTTCAACCTCAAAGGAGGCTTTGAGTAGATCTTCCAAAAACACAAATCTGGCCATGTCACTGCCCTGAAATAATTTTTACATTGCTCTCTAGTATTCGTGATAAAGTCACAATTTCCAAGTACAGAACTGGAAGCCCTCAGTAATCTAGATCTCTGGTGTCAATCTTCAGTGCTCCTCATTTAGCCCACACCAGTGCTCACTGCTGCTGCTATCTGGATTATCCTTTTACCCCCATTCACCCTTTAAAATTACCTTCTCCTTGTTGTCTTTTAGGGCCTTTGGAAGCCACTTACTCTAAAAGATTCACTCCACCCCCATACACAAACAACTTTCCTTGTTCCTTTGTTCCTAAAGTACCCTGTGCTTCCCCTCTGTCCCATAGTATTGGTGAGCTGCACTCTACTAATTCTCTGTTTCTACAGCTATCTCTTCCATTAAGACATGGGTCCTTTGAATGCATTCCTATTCAGGCACTAAGCCCCTAGCTAAGAATCACTAGGTATTTAGTAACTATTTAACTGTAGACCTATCAGATACACAAAATCATTTTCTTATACCCACCCCCATACCCACAGAAATTTTATTCCTCACCTTGACAGCAAACACAAGAGCCATGACTCCCAGGCAAGAACAGCCACAGATAATGCTAGTAGCTGCCAAGTATCGGAGGCGGAGCCAGCAGCAGTGGATAGGGGATGGAGAATGAGCAGCTTCCATGTTGCTCATCAAGCTCTCCGCTGCATTCTCCTCGTCCTCCATCACCTGTGGGCGATAGTCAAGGTATTTTTAAGCCCAACAAATGAGCTCTTGTTCTGGCGTGGTGACTCCACCCTTCTCAAAGCATGCTGTCTACTGTCCTACCCTATACTTAGGAATGCTGTTGTACTGGGAAATTCCTCCAATGACTCAAGGCAGGAAACTAATAAATACGTGGACTGCTTTCCTTCACTGTAGAGTCCTAAGTCTCTGAAGGCAAATATGTGAATATACTCGTAGTTTGATAAGCACAAAGAAGCAAACTGACATGCATATTGAGAAGCAGGATATAAAATTTCAAAACCTTTTAAGAAGGTGCCTTGTTTTGAGACAGGGTCTCACCGTTTAGCTCTCCCTGGTTGGCCTGGAACTCAGTATGTAGACAAGGCTGCCTCAAATACAGAGATCGCCTGCCTTTGTTCCCTTGTACTAGGATAATTCTTTTTTTGAGCAGGGTTTCTCTATATAGTTCTGACTGTTCTGGAACTCACTATGTAGACCAGGCTGCCTAGGACTCAGAGATTCACCTGGCTCTACCTCCTGAGTGGTAGTGCTGGGATTAAAGACAAGTGACACCTCACCCAGCATGAAAACAGTTCTAGGGAGGAAGGGGAAAAAAAAAAATCACAGTTAAGATCTTTTCTTGCTGTTTATAAAAAGTAAAAACAAAAAACCAAATAATTTAAAACAAACACCTGACCCAAGAGTAGTGGCAGACATCTCTAATCTCAACTCTGGACAGGTGGAAGCAGAAAGATCAAGAGTTCAAGACCAGCATTGCTACCTTGGAGTTTGAGGATATAGGAGATCCTGTCTCAAAACAAAAATGTAACAGGAAAAAAAAAACAAACTAAAACCCAAACGCTGAACATAGCTCTGTAATGATGCCTTCCTGCCACCTTCTCTCTTCATTTTAACCCATGCCCCGTAAGACAAATCAGACTGAGCCAGAGTCCAAATGGTCTCATTGCCCACAGACACCTGCATAGTGCCTTTTTCTCACTCCTTCTCAGGCCCTCCATGCTCATCACAATACCTTTCCACTCTCATGCCCAATCATTCTCCTACGGCTTAGACAAAGTGAAACCACCTGTGGTTCGCCAAGCACAAGTAAAGAGACTGCACAAAATGAGAGACAAGAGCACAAAAGGACGTGTAGCAAAGCTGCAGTGCAAGTTGAGGCAAGAACTGAAGTTGTCAGCCAATGAGAAGAGCCCAAGAGGGCCCAGGGAGTTAGGTCAGAAACTATAAACACAAACAGGTTCTTACCTGGCTATAGGCTTTGAGGGACTGTGAGTTTCGGCTCCTGCCTCACGTTTGATTTGGCTTGGGTGGAGATGAAGCTGACTCATGGCTCCAAGCCAAGCCAAGGTAGAGTTGTGGGGCCAGCCACCATGTGAAGAGCCCAGGGAGCTGGGAAGGGGCATGGCCAACTCAAACCAGTTTGGCTAGGTGGAGAGCAGAGGAGGGCCAAGGCATGAAGCAAGTGGAGGATGCCTGCTTTCTGAAGAAAGGAGTGTAAGGAAGCACCTGAGCAAGGAGGGTGAAAGGGACTCCAAGGTGTGGGGAGCTGAGGGCAAGTTCAAGAGTCAGAGAAGAGTATGTCTGAGTGAACTGAGAACTACCAGCCTAACAGATCGTATCTGACAATCTTCCCTTTTCTTGACTGAGAGAGGAGTTAAGTTCTGACTTAAAAGTATACAATCTTGTATTAAAGATCAGGTATGGGATCATTGCAAGAGGGAGGTGAAAAATTACATCCAAGTTCCCACCCAACCCTCCACCAGACCATAAAATCAGAAGCCTCCTTACACGGATGCTTGTACAGAAACTAAGTTTATTATGTTTTCTTTAAAAAAAAAAAAAAAAAAACCAAACCCACCCCACCTCATTGAAGAAAAGCCCCTCCCCCTTTTCCCTAAGGGTTTGAGGCTGTGAAAGACAGCTGGGGAATCAAGTACAAGGGGGTGGGGTCAGAGACTACCTTGCCACCCTTAACACTGCCCAGCCATGTAGGGTAGAAGGGGGGTTGTGATAAGCCCCATTTCCATGACAACCAGTTACCTACCCCCTACTTTGGTGGAAAGGGAGACAGCCCCCTATGTCTCCCTGGAGGCTTTTCCCCTCAGACTTCAAGTAGTGGTTAACAGAGTCAGGCCTGGGCGTGGGGAAGCAACCATGGTGGAATACCTAGGTGAAGGGCCTACCCACTCACGTCTTGGCCTTGCGACCTCTGTGACTAATAGTAGGGATAGATAGGTGGGGAGGAGCACTACTACGCAGGATACGCTGGTCCCCTTGGTTGGTGGTCCCAACGAGCCTGCGGGGACCGGTTCGGCGGCGTGGGGTTCCATCTCCTTCCTCCTCGTCACCTGAGGCTTCTGCCTCTGACTCCTCTACTGAACCCTCAGGCCCCAGGGGACTTGGGGGCTGCAAGCGGCCCCGCTTTGCCATCCCAGAACTCCCGGCTGGAGCCCCTGACCTTTTGCGAGGCATTTTTTCAGTTTCTAGTGGGGGAACTAGAGACCCTGGACGCAGACGGGTTGACCGAAATTTGGGAGTTAATGAGACCACAGGTGGTGTCAGTTCTAACCCACTTGGCCCACTATCTGCTAAATCCAGATCATCCTGAATTACGGCCATCACCATGGACCCTTCACTCTTTCTTCCCTGCTTCCCCTCTGCTTCAAGCCGTAGGCGGGCCAGGCGGGTGAGAGGACGGCTTCCATCCTCATCAGAGGAACTGCCTTCACTTTCCGCCTGGCCCAGGGGTTGCCTCCGCACGCCCGATCCACAACTCTCAAGGACAGAAGGGCTGTCGGTGTCCAAGACAGGGAGCTGGCTGGCCCGTGGTGATGGTGGATTCTTGGGAGGTCGACCCCGCTTCCGCTTAGGTGGCGATGTTGAAATGGTGACAGTGGTGACAGTGTTGGCGACAGCAGTGGGACAGGCTAGGAGTGGTGGGAGTGGTGTCAGGGTGGCTGGGAAAGGGAGTGGCTGTGTCCGGCTCTCTAAATTGCCATCCCCTGGAGAGGATATGGTCCCAGGAACAGGCAAATCCCTTGCTTTAGGGGGACGCCCACGTCGTCTTTTCTCCACAGGTGATAGGATGGGCTCTGGTCTGTGAACTGGTACAGGTCCAAGAGACTGGGGTCCAGGAACAACCTGAGACCTGAGGGCAGGCTCTGCAACAGATACTGCCTCAGGCCCAGGAACTGGGTCAACCCCATTGGTCTTCCCCTTAGAGACGGATGAAGGTGTCTCATCCACCCCTCTCCCAGCATCTGCTGGAGACCTGTTCTTCTTAGGGGGCCTCCCCCTCCGACGTTTCACAGCAGGTGGAGTGATGGCAAGTTCTGCTCCTTCTCCATTCTCTGGGCTGCCCCCACCAGTCATACCCAGTTCAATGTGACGACAAGCTATTAAGGGATGCTGGGTTGGGGTGGACAGTGAGGATGATGGAGCAGCTTCACAGGGCCCACTGCTGGGAGGTGAAGATTCTGGCCCTGATATGCTGTGGGCTGATGGGCTTCCTGGACTGGTGCTAGCTTCCGGAACTAGGGTGCTGGCAGCTCCCCGATGTCGCCGCCGTCTCACAAGCTCTTTCTCCTCTACTACAGTTACTAGCCGTCCTGGTAGCTTTCGAAGCACTTTGGGACCTGGGGGTTGTCCTGCCCGGCCAGACCCCTGACCCCTGATTTCTACATCAGCACTGGTGCGACGCCGTGGGGGACGGGCAGGCGAAGGACCCTCAGGAGAGGAGGTGGCTGAAGATGAGGTTGATGGGGCTATAACCTCAGCTCTAACAAGTTCTTGTGGTTTTTCTGGGTTAGAAATTGGGATCTGAACCTCTCCCATTTTTTCCAAGTTTCTGTGAACCTCCAAAACCTCCTGAAGTGGCTTATCAGACGTTGCTGAGGGTGGCAGCTCCAGCCCATTGCTCTCATTCAGACTCGTGGTCAACTCCTCACTACCAGGTAGTAGTGTGGGACTGGTCCCCTCGACAGGACCTGGCACCTCCTGCTCCTGGCCATTGGGGATGCTGTCAGCCTCCAGGTTTGAACTGGGTACAGGAGTTAGAAAATTCTTCTCTGACTCAGGCAGAATATCAACAGGCCCTGGCAAAAGATCATTTGGGGGAGCAAGGCTAACTAGGGAAGCCTCAGAATTGGCGGTTCCAGGCAGTTCTAGAGACTCCATAGGTACCAACTCTTGTGCACACAGCTCCACATCTCCTGAGTCCAAGGGAAGATTGGTAACTCCAGGAGAGATGGGAATAGGAAGGGAATCAAGCAGGGCTGGTGAAGAGGTCAAATGAGAGGTTTGAGCTAGTGAGGGGGCACAAGTGGGTATTGGGGCACAAGCAGAAGGGATGCAATTAGGAGAACAAGATGGAGGAAGCTGAAGCAGAGGTGCAGGAGTAGGCAAGATGTGGACAGGAAGAATGGTTATTGGATTTGGGGCTGAAATGGGTATGGGAGCTGGGGCTAGAGCAGAAGTTATAGCAGGAGTAGGAGCGGGAGTGGAGGCAGAGACAGGGACAGGGGCAGGGGCAGGGGCAGGAGCAGGAGCAGGAGCAGGGGCAGGGGCGGGAGCAGGGGCAGGGGCGGGAGCAGGGGCAGGTCGAGGCCTAGGCACTGGCCTGGGAATTCGTTCTCTCACAGGGCTGCATTGGGGAGGCATGATGGTGTTGCAGGTAAGATGGCTAGATGTGACAGGAGTGTGGTTTGCTCCTTGAGTCTCAGCCCGAGCTCCACGAAGACGCTCACTGACACGAGTCCCCAGCCTTTCAGGAGCCCTGACTTTCTTACTGCGCCGGTGGCTGCCTCCACTAGTCCCACAAGACATCTCATCCCCAGCCCCTGGCCCTTCCTCTTCTTCTTGGGGCAGTCGAAACACTTCGTCCTTGGCTTGATCCAGGTCTTTTCGGGCAGCTTCCACTTGTTCCTACCAACAACAAGTCCAATATGGTCAGCAAGGGGTAGAGCAAAGCCAGGCGTAGTAGAAACGATCGGTTCCCCACTACCTCATTCCCCAGAAAGACTTACTTCTGCCTGCTTGAGCTCCTCTCGGCTTATTTCCTCCAATGATGCTTCTAGGAACTTCATGGCATAGCGCTCAATAGGAGTCAGCTGTAGAGAAGAGTAACTGGATTAACTGGATAAACAGAAGGACCAAGAGTGCGGGGCCTATCACCACTATTTATTATCACCAAGGAAGACGGGGGGGGGGGGGGGGGGGGGGGGAAACAGGTCTGCGTCCTGGCGTAAGTTTTGGCAGATGAAGAGAAGTAGTAGTGGATCTATACTGACCTGTTCTACAAGTGCTGCAATTTCCTGTTCAGCCCTGGACATCTCCTCTTCCTCAGCCCCAGGCCGACTGGCCTCTTCTCCCTCACCAGCAGGAAACCCATCATTCTCATTAAATTCTGCAAGCTCAGCCACTTGTTCAGCCTTGGCCTGGGTGGCTGCACGGATATCTTCTTCATCTTCTGCCCGACACAATGCCTTCAAGGTACACAGAAACGAAACAAAACACACACAAATAAGAAATGTAAGCATCTGGACGGCAGCAAAACGGCTCACTGGTTAAAAGCATTTGCCCAGCAAGTCTGACAGCCTGACTTTGATCCTCAGAACCCATAGTGGAAGGATGGATTCTAGAAATTTGCTCTCTGACCTCCATATGCATGTAATGGCACATATGCATATAATAAATAATAAAAAAATAGCAAAGAAAAAACAGGGGAATGGAGCTGGAGAGATGCCTCAGAACTACAGAAAGCTTACCACTCTTGCAGAAGACCTATCAGATGGCTCAATTCCAGTTTTAGGGGAAGTCCAGCCCCACTGCCTTCTCAAAGTACCTGCACTCATATGTAAATACCCACACATAATAATATACACATAATTAAAAAGAAAAAAATTATTTAAATAAAACAATAAAACTTTTCAAGGAATGATGCAGGTACATGCCCATAATCTCAGCCCTCAGGAGGCATAAATAGGATTACTGAAAGTCGGAGGTCAGTTTGCTCTACACAAAATGTTCCAGGAAAACCAGAAACACATGACAAGACCTTGTCTCAAAACAAAACAAAATAAACTATTAATATCTTGTAATTACATTTTATTTATGACAAGGATAACAAAGGTCTTATTATGTGGCCCTGCTTGGACATCGATGTGTAGACTAGGCTCTTTGAACTAACAGAGCTCCACCTACCTCTGCCTCCTGAATGTGTGCATTATATTCCTGAAGAAACAGAGACAGCTGGGTGAGGCAGTACACACCTTTAATCCCCAGTATTGAGGAGACAACAGTAGGTAGATGACCTGTGAGTTCGAGGCCAGCCTGGTCTAAAGAGATTCCTATCAGCCAAGCCTTAACAGTGAGTCTCTATCTCAAGTAAAAACAAAAACCAATCAAACAAAAAACATTTAATCCAAGTTTATATAAAAACGGATTTAAAGCTGAACTCAGCAATGGTCTACAACACTAGAGTTACCAAAGCAACTCAAAGCTCAACACAAGGCAGAATGGCTTTCACTAACTAACTCTCCCACTAGGGAACAAATGACTATTTTAGAGCCCCTATTCTCTGCTTCCTTTCCTTTATAATTTAGCCTCAGAGTTTCTCTCTTAAAAAAAAAAAAGATTAGGAATGAGTTGAGGATGCAGCTGTTAAGAGTACTTGCCTAAATCCTGGGTTCCATCACCAGCAACAAAAATATGAAAAACAAGATCACAAAGTAAGAGCTGGAGAGACGGCTCAGAAGAACACCTGCTGTTCTTGCAGAAGATCCTTTCAGTTCCTAGTACCTACTTTGAGCCCGTAAACTCTAACTCCAGGGATTCATTCCAATGCTCTCTTCTAGACTCTAGAAACTAATGAATCTACACGTACACGCAAACACACACAACCATTAATTAAATTCACATCAAACCCGCTAAAAGAAGCTGCCTATGGGTCACTGAATTAGCTTAGTGGGTTAAGGCGATGGCCACCAAACCTAACAAGCAGAATTGAATCTTTGAAACCCACATTTTAAAAGATCACTGACTCGCACAACTCTTCTGACCTCCACATGTAAGCTGTGGCATGTGTTTACCCTCCCCATACACAATAATTAAATAAACGTTAAAAAAAAAGTCTAAAGCATATGCTCAGCAACAAGAAAGCATCTGGTAGGTAACCTTTCAAGATGCTCTTTTACATCTGTAGTTTATTTTCCATTTTTCTAAGAATTATACAATATACTGCATGCTACATAATATCCTGCAAAATTTAGTAAAGGCAGATGACCATAACTAAGTGACTTTTTTTTTTTTTAATTTTTCGAGACAGGATTTCTCCGTAGCTTTTGGTTCTTGTCCTAGAACTAGCTCTTGTAGACCAGGCTGGCCTCGAACTCACAGAGATCCGCCTGCCTCTGCCTCCCAAGTGCTGGGATTAAAGGCGTGCGCCACCATCGCCCGACACTAAGTGACTTTTTTCCATCAATGTTATCCAAGCTTTGAGACACATAGTTACCAATTAAAGATGCACCTATCTCTTTCCATTAAACTTCACTAATAAGGAAATGGGCAACACCTTTATTCTTGATCCCATTAGTAAACCTAGGGATTCATTCAGTGGCTATTCTAGGTTAAGAGTAGTAGCAAGAATACCCATGGTGCCAAATCCAGGGACAACAGCAAATCAGATCTTTACACATTTACCTCAAGCAAAACCCTTCCCCGTAGGCACATTTAAAGGTGGTTCTGAAAAAAATATAAGAGGTTAATGCTTACTTATATCTAGCACTTAAGAGTTACAGTTTAGTAGGCTTTGAAATGGAGGCCCAGGAATCAACCTTTTAGATTTATGTTTAAGAGTGTTGCCCTGCATGTATGTACACCTTATGCCCTAAGAGGTCAGAAAAGGATGAGTACTGGATTCCCTGGAACTAAAGCTGCAGGTGATTGAGCACCAGCATGTGGGTGCTGGGAACTGAACCTTTGCAAGAACAGTAAATGCTTTTAAAAACTAAGCCATCTCTCTAGATCCTTCTTTCCCACTTTGAAACAAGTCTCTCTGTGTAGCTATAGACCAGGCTGGACTCAGACACACAGCGATCACCCATGGCTCCAGTTTCTTTTTGAAGTCCTTGAGTCATATTTGTAGCCTGTTCTGTACTCCAGGAAGTAGACACTGTCTCCAAACAAACAAACAAACAAACAACCCTGATGTGAGATTCCCCTCTGTATGCTGTGAATACCATTGGTTAACTGTCTTAGGTCTGTGGAGGCAGAATTTTGGTTGGCAGGAAAATTAAACTGAATGCTGGGAGAAGGAAGGTGGAGTTTAGACACGCCATGTAGCCCCATCAGAGACGCCAGAACTTTACTCGGTAAGTCACAGCTTCGTGGCAGATACACAGATTAATAGAAATGGGTTAAATTAAGATGTAAGAGTCAATAAGAAGCTAGAGCTAATGGGCCAAGCAGTGATTTAATTAATACAGTTTCTGTGAGGTTATTTCAGAGTTGAGCAGCTAGGAACAAACAAGCGGCCTCTTCCCTTAAAACACAACCTTTAAAATCTGGCCTGGGAAGATAACTCGCAGGTAAAGATCCTTGCTTTTAGTTACTGGAATGTACATAGTGAAGAGATAATCAACTATTACATGCTGTCCTCTGGTCTCCACAAAATTATATTTATTACTTTGTGCATCTCTCTGGATACACAAAGGTATACATACCCATACAGAGACACACAAAGTATAAATATAATTTTTAAAAAGTTAAAAAGAGCTGGGTGGTGGTGGTGCATACCTTTAATCCTGGCATTTCAGAGGAAGAGACAGGCAGATCTTTGAGAGTTCCAGGCCAGCCTGATCTACAGAGTGATTACCAGGACAGTCAAGGCCGCACAGAGAAACCTGTCTCAAAAAACAAAATCCAAACCAAACAGAAACCCACAACAAAGAACAAACCAAAAAAGGGGCTGGAGAGATGGCTCAGAGGTTAAGAGCACTGGCTGCTCTTCCAGAGGTCCTGAGTTCAATTCCCAGCAACCACATGGTGGCTCACAGTCATCTATAATGAGATCTGGTGCCCTCTTCTGGCATGCAAGCATACGTGTTGTATACATAATAAATAAATAAATCTTAAAAAAAATTTTAAAAAAGGAAACAAAATGTCTTTAAAAACAAACAAACAAACCAAAAAAACAAACAAACCAAAAAACCATGCAACAACAAACAAAACCAAAAACCAAACGTGTCTTTCCAGGAAAATCGCAACCAATCAAAATGCAGTAGTGGAGCCCCAAAGGATACATCATCTAAGGCCCGAGACACTTTGGAAGAGGGGGCAGAAAGATTGTAAAAGCCAGAGATCAGGCAATTTGTTATAAGACTGTGTCTCTTACAAATGTCAGAAGTTACACCCATGAAGTCTCACCACCATGACTGCCTAAGCATGAGTTGAACAGGACAACATTAATAGATGTGCCAAAGTGGGTGCGGAAAGCACGAGGCCCCGATCCTTCACAAAGAACTAGAAGCAACTAAGAAATGATGGATGAGAGCAGGAGGACTCGTCTTCCCCAGGGAAGAGCACATCAATCGGTTACAATACTTTCAGCTCTGAAAACATACATGAGTAATATTAAATGGGCTGAGCAGGTTGTACTTATGTATTTAGGAATAAACATATACACAAACACATGTACACATATATGTATGTAGCAAGAATTAATAATAAAAAAAAGAGGCCATGAATTTCAATGAGAGCAAGGAGGGTAAAGCTTGGAGGGAAAAAAAGGAAAGAGGGAAATGATACAATCACATTATAAACTTTAAAAAGAAAAGAAAATCAGCTGGATGGCGGTGGCGCACATCTTTAATCCTGGCTCTCAGGAGGCAAAGGCAGGCAGATCTCAGTGAGTTCAAAGTCAGTCTGGTCTACAGAGCCAAGTTCTAGGACAGCTAGGATTGTTACACAGAGAAACCCTGCCTCGAAAAAATAAACAAAACAAACAAACAAATAAGCAAGCAAATAAAGAGTATCAAACAAAACAAAAATCCACTTCCTATAAACTGGGAACCAATAGAAACTGTACTTTCTCATGGATAAACTCAAATATAAATGAAAGCCAACATATATCTAAGCAGCAGTACTATTTTAGGATTATTCCCTCTTTTGTTACCTGCTCCAAAATATGAGTCTGCTTGCTGGCCACAGCCTCCTCTTCTTCCTCAGGAGCAGAAGATGCAGATGAGCCAGGTGGCTCTTCCAGAGGCATATCAAACAGCTCTCTGATGGTCTGCTATTAGAAAGAACAGAAGGGAAGAGGTCAACCAATGAAATATTACTTCTAGGCAAAAACCTTTGAGGTATGGAGGCACTGCAGATTGAGAGACAGATGTGAGGTCTAGCAAACAAGAGTAACTCTTCAAGAAAAGTTCTCTTCTGTCTAGACCGAAGGATTTTATTTTGTACCTGTTTAAAATAGGCTGTAGTGAAGTTCCCTCCCTCAATGGCCATATCTCCCAACATTCTCTTCTGATTTGCCTTCTTAAGAATGTTCTCCTCTACTGTTCGTTCACTGATAAGCCTAGGAAATGGAAGTGAGGTGTGAACAGCTAAATATATCAAGATTCCTGAATATAAGGAGGGAGTAAATTGAGGTAAGATCGGGCAATAATACCTATAGATGTGGACATCCCGAGTCTGACCAATTCGATGACAGCGATCCTGGGCTTGAGCATCCATGGTGGGATTCCAGTCGCTGTCATAAAAAACAACAGTGTCTGCTCCCGTCAGGTTCACACCCACACCCCCACTTCGAGTTGAAAGGATGAAGCAGAATATGCGTTTGTCTGCATTGAACCGTTCCATCAAGGCCTAAAAGGAAAGGGAAAAAAGATGGTATTTGGAGACTTATTCCCAAAACAAACCAAAGGCTTTTTAATTTTTAAGGTCCCTTCTCTAAGCCGGAAGTTTGAGAAAAAGAAACAAAAGCTGAGGGGAGTCTCTGGAGGGATAAGGATGCTTAAATTACCTGTCTCTGCTCAACTCTAGTAGACCCATCCAGACGCAAATATAAGTGACCATGATAGGTGAGAAATTGCTCTAATACATCCAGCATCCGGGTCATCTGGGTGAAAATGAGCACCCGGTGGCCCTCTGCCTTGAGCTGCCGCAACAGCACTGCCAATGTCTGCAACTTCCCTGAAGAAATAGGAAGGAGCACAAACAGTTAGCTTCATGATGATATAGAAAAAAATAATACTAGAAAGCTACAGTTGAAAGGTAAGAAAGGCCTTTGCACAAAGGTTTCAACTGGTTCACTGAATAAAAGACAATTCTCTCTCCATTTGCTAGTCTCTTTCTCTCCCTCTCTTCCTTTTTTCTTCCTTCCTTCCTTCCTTCCTTTCTTTTTTTTTTTTTTTTTTTTGAGACAGGGTTTCTCTGTTTAACAATCCTGTTTTAGAATGCACCCTGTATACCAGGTTGACTTCAACCTAAGAGATTTACTTGCCTCTGCCTCTCTAGTGCTGTGATTAAAGGGGTGCACTATCACTGCTGGACGCAGGTCAGGATGTCAAGAGGTAATCTAGTTTAATGTTCCAACACATAGAAATGATGCTAAGGCTATGGTAAGACTCGAGAAATTGCAAGAGTACTTGCTCTTGCAGAGGAACCAGGTTTGGTTTCCAGTACCCACAAGGTGGATCACAACCATCTGTAATTCTAGTTCCGGGGAATCTGATGTCTTCTTCTGACCTTGAGCACCAGGATGCATATAACATACATACATACACACACAGGCAAAACACATCAAGCAGGTAAAGCTAATTTTTTAAAAATTAAGACAAACAGAAATAACGTATTATTTCTAGTGAGCTAACTAGCAAGTGACCAACGAATAAAGGTACTTGCTGCCAAGCCTGTCAACTTGAGTTAGTTTTGGAACCCATATGGAGCAAACTCTCAAAAACTACCTTGGGCCTCATACCTACCATGTAGACACCCACAGGAAACTAACAAAATAATAAGAATTTCTGGCAGTGTTGGAGATCTAGGACAACCTCAGTTGAAACCTGGAGTTACTTCATTCTTAGTTCCAAGTTTCAATGTGTGTGTGGTGAGGGGAGTAGGGCTAGGGATTGAGTTTAGGGCCCTGTGCATGCTAGGAAAGCACTTATCACTGAGCTAAACCCTTAACCCAGTTTCAAAAGTCCTTCAATTAACCCATTATGGTTTCAGATGTTATCCAAAATAGGGGTGAGGTGGGGGAGAGGGGTGGCTGAGGAGATGGCGCAATGATTTGCTATGTAAGCATGAGCGCCTCAGTTTGGATTCCTAACATCCATGGAAAAGCTGGGGGGTGGGGGTGAAGACAGGAAGATAGGGCAAGGGGGATCGATGGCCAGCCAAGCTAGCTCAAATAGTGAGCTTCGGATTTAATAAGAGACCCTGTGACAAGAAATAAAGTGGGGGGCCGCTGGGCAGTGGTGGCGCAGACTTTTAATCCCAGCACTCGGGAGGCAGAGGCAGGAGGATCTCTGTAAATTCAAGGCCAACCTGGTCTACAGGAGCTAGGTCCAGGACAGGCTCCAAAACTAGAGAGAAACCCTGTCCTGAAAAACAAAACAAACAACAACAACAACAACAAAACAAACAAACAATTAATCCTGGCTCTCTAGGAGACAGAGGGAGGCAGCTTTCCTTGAGCTCAAGGCTAGCCTGGCCTAAAGAGCAAGTTCTAGGAGAAATCATTTCGAGGAACTCAAAAAAAAAAAAAAAAAAAAAAAAGTAAGTAGGAAGCGAGAGGGAAATAAAATGTATTTGAGAGTAATTAGATACAGCTACACACACATCTGCATATATATATAAATATGTACCAATCAATAATAAAATTGTCGAAAAACAAATTTAATTATAGAAAAAAGATGGAGTAATAAAGAAAAACTGATATTAGCCTCTGGCTTTCACCCTCAAAACTCAGACACAAGAACTTACGCAGACACGCAGGCACAGACACACATCACATACACAGAACCTCCCCTTCCACCCCGCCCGCCCCAAATCAGGTCTTACTGTGTAAATAAGGCCTCAAACTTATCTTCCTGTTCAAATTTCTCAGAGGCTGGGATTATAGGCATGTACTAACATCCCAGGCATAAAAAGGTCTTTTGTTTACTGAGCAAACATGAATAAAAATTCACCTTTTCTCATATTCTAGGACATTAGGAAATTGTTAGTTTTGGTAGTTATCGTAACACTGCAAAAATAATCAGGAGAATAAATAGCTTAAGAGTAAGAGGTAAAGATTTCTTTCTTTCTTTCTTTTTTCTAGACAGGGTTTCTCCATCTAATACCTCTGGCTGTCCTGGAACTCACTCTGTAGACCAGGCTGGCCTCTGCCTCCCAAGAAAGGGGATTAAAGGCGTGCGCCAGCATTGCCCGGCTTCAGGAAGCACTCTTAACCTTCAGTGCTTCCCATGAACTATTTATTTATTTATTTGTTATACAGTGTTCTGCCTTCATGTATGCCTACAGGCCAGAAGAGGGCACCAGATTTCACTATAGATGGTTGTGAGTCACCATGTAGTTGCTGGGAATTGTACTCAGGACCTCTGGAAGAGCAGTCAGTGTTCTTAACCTCTGGGCCATTTCTCCAGACCTTCCCATGAACTTTTTAAAACAAGGTCATGATTTGTAGCCCTGGATGGCCGAAACTTGCTATATAGGCCAGATTTGTCTTGAACTTGGGAGTAATCTTCCTGCCTTTGTCCTAAGTGCTAGGATTACAGGTGTGTGCCATCACACACAGCTGCCTTTTCCCATAACTTGTGGCTTTTTCAAAACAATGTTTCTGTGTGTAGTATTAGCTATCCTGGAACCGGAACCTGCTCTGTAAACCAGGGTGGCCTTGAATTAGAAGATTTGCTGGCCTCTGCTGGGATTGAAGGTGTGCTTTCACACTCTATGCTATGCTGGTCTCACTTATTATCACAAATGAAAAGCAAAATGACAGATGTGATAATAATCACTGAGTCAATAAATCAACATCACATATACTTAACTTCCACAAAAGCTACCAAAATGCTACCTCTATGCTACATCTCATTGATATAAACTATCTTGTCATTAAGAGTGCAGAATAATCTGGTTTAATCAGAAGTTCAAGGTCATCCTCAGCTCTACAAGCAAATCACAAGCAATCTTGGGATACACGAGCTACTGCCTCAAACAAAACAAAGCAAAACAAAGAAATATTGGTGGTCCTGCAACAGCCAAGAACTCACCACAATCATACTGGATGAGTCTCAAGTCAGGGAACTGGGTACGCATATTACATACAATACGGTGCAAAGGACGGGCTCGAGGCCAGAGCTCACTGGCCAATTGTTCCTGGAAGGCTGCCTGATGAGGGGCCATCCAAGGAGGTGGGTGGCAGGCATGCAGGGAAGGGGGAGGTGCCTCCACAGGAGGCATAACAAAGATGAACCTGTGAAAGGAAGAAAGTAAACAATGTAAAAGATATGACCCTGAAATTATCACTGAATTTAGCACCTTCATTAACCCTAGGAACTAAATCCACTGTAGCCCCAAGACCCACTCCCCATCATCACTTAGCCCTGCCAACCTCTCAATGATTTCTGACAGCTGGTCTAGACGCTGCTGGGGAAACAGTACAGCCTGATGGGCAGCCTCAGTATAAGTCCAAAAGATGGGGTGGCTGGGGCCAGGAGAACGAGGGCTGATGGGGCTGGCAACAGGTTGGGGCAAGGTACAGAAATCCAGGACTTCAGTCCCATACACAGGTGCCAGGGCCCCATGAGCCTCACTAAGTTGGAAAATCCGTTCCAAGCGTTCAGATCGTTGCTGCTTCCGCTTTTCTTCCAGAGAATCCTAAAGGAAAACAAAACAAAACAAAAAAACAAACAAACAAACAAAAATTGGTGTACTCAAGAATTTGCAACAAAACTTTATAAAAACCTAAACTCTTAAAGATGGAGTCTGTAGTAATAAGATCTAAGGCATCTACCATGTGCTTTATCATTTTCAAAATTTGTCAATGAAAACTGTTGTTTTCACAATGTTAAATGAAGCCATCCTCTACAAGAAAAAACTCATCTTTCCTTGCGTGCTTGTTAAAGCAGAATTGCTGAACATCAAAGTGAAGACCTACATATCCCAGTTTATAGCATAGCTGATTTGTGGCAATTTTGTTATGTAACATTCAACTTTAGGACATATAACTTATTTTCTTGTAGTAGGTCTACAGAATGCAAATGGGCACTTGCATGCACATACACAAATAAATAAATGTAATTTAAAAGTCAACAGGTATTGAGTCAGGTGTGCAGCCTTTATTCTAGTACTCTGGGGGGAGGGAAGTCTCAAAAAAGGAAGAAAAAAAATCAGGGGGTGGGGCTGACTAAAACAGCAAGAATGTGAAAGCATGAAATAAAGAAGGATGTTTTTCTGTTTTGTTTGAGACAGGGTTTTTTCCTTTGTAGCCGTGGCCATCCTGAAACTCCATCTGTAGAACAGGCTTGCCTCAGATTTAAGAGATTTTCCTGCCTCTGCCTCCTTGTGCTAGGATTAAAGACATGTGCCACCACTGCCCGGCTAAGGAAGGGCCTTCTAATTATGAAGTAAAATCTTTCTGTATGATGGTAGAGAGAAGTGTGGGAAAAAGTAAGGAAAAACCTCCATGCTTCATGCTTTACTTAGGGGATAACCTTAAAAATTATGATTTTAGCCGGGCGATGGTGGCGCACGCCTTTAATCCCAGCACTCGGGAGGCAGAGGCAGGCGGATCTCTGTGAGTTCGAGACCAGCCTGGTCTACCGAGCTAGCTCCAGGCCAGGCTCCAAAGCCACAGAGAAACCCTGTCTCGAAAAACCAAAAAAAAAAAAAAAAAAAAAAAAAAAAAAGAAATTATGATTTTAGATAAACACACTTTTCTGTATTTTGGTTTAATGTTTTTTTTTGGGTAGACTTTCTATAAATACACACACACACATATATATATACACATACACACAAACACACGCACACTTTTTTTTAACATAATTTAACTGTAATACTTCGTTTTCAAGTTCTGTCACTGTTAATGTGAAGTTAGAAACTACACAGTAGACATTAATAGTAATTTATGGCTAGACAACTATATTTCCAAAATGGGGGGAGGATTTGCTAATGAGAACTAGTAATATCATCCACTGTATAAATAAAAGGCTATTTTTCCTTATATGCACATAATTTTTACCTTAACCAATAGAATCAGTGGGGTATACAATAAAAATTAACATTCTAACTAGAAGTACATGATAAACCAAGTAAGTTCAAATCAAAAACTGTCTGTATTATGGAACATTTATAATATACTAACTATTCATGCAAATTTGTATTTAAAGTTATATAGCTACCAATTAGAGTAATATTTATCAAATTACTCCCATGTTCCTTGACAAGATTAACCACAACCCCCACAAATATACGTTTTAGCATTTAGCATTCATAAACACACACACACACACACATATATGTATCATAATTTATCAGGGAATTCTTTCATGAATCACAGTAGAACTGAAGATACACTCGAAAAGACTGACAGATATTTCAGGCTCTATAATTCTATAATCCTCATAGTGGCAAGGCATATGGTAGACTTAACAAGAGTCGGCCATCTCTACATTGTTCTGATCACTTTCCTTCTAATTAGATAGAGGCCTTGGGTTTAATCACCAACACAAAAATAAAAACAAAAATTTTAATGTGTTATTTTTGCACAATTGGGTTTTAATCCAGCTATAAGGAAGAATCAAATTCTGAAAATTGCATGGAACTACAAATATACTGAGTGAGGTAACCCAGCCTTAGAGAGATGTTACAAATTTTCTATCACATATGTATATCTTAGTGCTGAAATTTTAAATTTGAGTTTAACTTGGAGCGCTTATAGAGACTACGAAGCTATGAGGGGGGTAGAATTTATGACCTTAGAGCTGTGGTTCCCAACATGTGGGTCACAAACCTTTCCCAGGGGCTGTATAAAGTATCCTGTATATCAAATATTTACATTGTGATTAATAACAGTAGCAAAATTACAATTATGAAGTAACAACAAAAATAATTTCATCGTTGGGGTCACCACAACATGAGGAACTGTATTAAAGAAAGGAAGGTTGAGAACCACTGCATTAGAAGAGACTATCAGTTATGGAAAGGTACGTGGGTGGGGGAGAGCAGAGGATAAAGGGAGAAACTAAAATTACAAATGAGGAAATCATAAAGAAACTTGTAAACTAATATATGTAAAAACACTATTGAGGGCACACATTCCAGGCCAGCTTGGTCTACATAGTAAGTTACAGAACAGTCAGGGTTACATAGAGACCCTGCTTCAAAATAAATTGTGTGTATATAAATAATTAAAGGGCTAAGAAATATGACCTAGCATTTAAGAGTATTTGCTCTACAATCATGAGTTACTGAATTTGGATCCCAATACCCCAAGTAACACACTAGTCATCCTTACAAATGCCTGTGGTCACAGCTTGGAAAGGGAAAAGACAGGAGAAATATGAAGTTTGTTGGCTCCAGGCTAGTCAAGAAAATGTAAACCCCAGAATCAGAGAGAACATCAGGTCTCAAATTAAGTGAACAGTGTGACCTCTTGATGCCCTTTTCTAAAGTCTTTCCCTCTAAAACATACAAACATGTAATTTTAATACATTTTTCTGTGTGGGTGTTTTTGCATACATATATGTCTATGAATTAAATGCCCTAAAAGCCAGAAGAGGGTGTTACATCTCCCGGAACTGGAGTAATGGATGATTGTGAACTATCATGTGGGTGCTGGGAATTAAACTACAATCCTCTACAAAAACAAGTGCTTTTAACCACTGGGACAACTCTCCAGTCCACACACATAATACAAAAAGAAAAAAAAAAAAGAAAGAAAAGAAAAAAGGCACAAGCAGGTAACCTGCATGGGTGGATAAGGCTATTTCTAAAAGTCGTAGGTTAGCAAATGAAATCCAGTTGCCAGGTCTGAGATATCTACCTATGAATTGTTGGTCAGAGAGAACCCAGAAGGCCCCCAAACAACACAGACTATTCCTATTGCTCGTGGTTTCCCATGAGATAAGGTGGTGAAACTCTACTGCAGAAGATTTCACACATTTTGGGTAGACCCAGCTGTCATAGCATACCACAAAATGTTCAATAAACTGCTGGGGAAGTAAAGTCAGCAAAGGCCTTTTCTGGCCATGAATCCTACAAGTTATAAAACCAACATACCAAGAAAGATGTGCCCATTAATTAACAGTAGCATGTTATAGAGGCATCCTCCACAGGAAGAAGGTTGGTACTTTAAACCTGCCCAAAAGTCCATGGCTGGGCTGGTAAAATGGCTCAGTGGGTAAATGTACTGCCAGACAAACCTGACTACCTGAATTCACAATAAAAGGTGCATCCTAAACACTTCTAGGTTTAGATCATCTTGTATTGAGATCAGCACTGCTCTCTCATCTTTGGGCAGAGAAGATTCTGTTTGCCGAGGGTAGTAACGCAAATGTTAAGTACTCAGCCCTAAATAGGTCATCTGTATCACCGCTTCCACAAGAACAGAAAATATCAAGCAAGAGAGAGAGAAAGAATATAAGAGCTGGATATTAAGGAGGAGTGCTACGAAATAGTGTCTTCTGGACATAGCTGTTACCCTCAGGAACTCATAGCAACATGAGGAAATGGGGAGACATTTTCTTCAGTAGTACAGTCACAGTTTAATAACCACCCTACTCATGTTCAGGTAAGGGAGCCTAATTAAATTCAGTGGACCACCAAAAATAAAACACAAAAGATATAAAAGAGGGAACTGTTATGGAATAGAGTATTTGTTGTATTTGTTTGTGTCACAGAACTGTTTAACTATGTAAAGATGTGTTGCATTTGCGTATACTGCATTTGTTTTACTATGTAAAGATGTATTGGTATTTCACCTTGCCTGCCTAAGGCACCAGATTATGATGTAGGTGGACCTTTTGTCTGTGTGTTATTTTCATTGGTTAATAAAGAGCTTGCCTTGGCCCTTTGATAGGACAGAAAATTAGGTAGGTAGAATAAACAGAACAGAATGCTGGGAAGAAGGCAGTGAGGCAGACGCGATGAAGCTCCGGCCCAAGATGGACGCAGGTTAGAATCTTCCCTGTAAGCCACCACCTCGTGGTGCTACATACATTAATAGAAATGGGTTAATCAAGATGTGAGAGTTAGCCAGTAAGAGGCTAGAGCTAATGGGCGAGGCAGTGTTTAAATGAATACAATTTGTCTGTTATTCCCGGGGTTAAGCTAGCCACGTGGGAGCCGGGCGAGATGAAAAGCAGGCCTGCCCACAGCTCCTCACTACAAGATTAGTCTAATAAAAAACTGAATGGCCAATAGCTAGGCAGAGTATAGACAGGGCTGGTAGACAGAGAGAAAAGGGAAGCCAGCCAGCCAGCCAGCCAGACACGGAAGAAGCAGGATGGACAGTACACAATGAGGCAAACTAGCCTCACCACAGCACACACATGAATAAAAATGGGTTCGTTTAAGTTAAAAAGCTAGCTAGAAACAAACCTAAGTTAAGGTTAAGCACTCATAATTAACACTAAGTCTCTGTCACGATTTGGGGGTTGGAGGTTCAAGAAAGCCTGCTATAGGGGAGTTGGGAAGAAGGGTTCAACCACAGTGGGAAGGAATTCAAAGAAGTTATTTATGGAGGGTGGAAAACGGCTAGCATCCATACCCACACCCATGCATGTATTTTTTTAAAAATATTTATGTGTATGGATGTTCTGCCTGCCTGGATAACTCTGCACCATGTATGTGCAGTGCCCACAGAACTGGGTGTCAGATATTCTATAGGACTGGAGTTACAGATGGTTATGAGCCACCATATGAACACTGGGAATTGAACCCAGATCCTTTGTAAGAGTAGTTAGTACTCTTAACAACTAAGTCATCTCTCTAGCCCCCCACTAGTTACTTTTTAAGGGTTTAAAAACAGTTACAGAAAGGCTAATCCCAAAAATTTTTGACAAGAGCCAGAAAATAAAATTGGGAATTTGCTAACGAGTCACCTAGGTATAGTAAAGCTTTAAAAGGGCAACTTATCAGGCTGGAGAGATGGCTCAGAGGTTAAGAGCACTGACTGCTCTTCCAGAGGTCCTGAGTTCAATTCCCAGCAACCACATGGTGGCTCAGTCATATGTAATGAGATCTGGTGCCCTCTTCTGGCATGCAAGCATACAGACAAACAGAGCACTATACATAATAAATAAACAAACCTTAAAAGAAGGGGGGGGGGCAACTTATCAGCCTGGAAATCTGAAAGATTTGATTGATTTCTTTCCCACTTCTGTCTTTCTAGTTTGGCTTTAAAACTACTAAATTGGGGGGCTGGAGAGATAGCTCAGCGGTTAAGAGCATTGCCTGCTCTTCCAAAGGTCCTGAGTTCAATTCCCAGCAACCACATGGTGGCTCACAACCATCTGTAATGAGGTCTGGTGCCCTCTTCTGGCCTTCAGTCATACATGCAGGAAGAATATTGTATACATAATAAATAAATATTAAAAAAAAAAGAAACCACGACCAATGCTAAAGTAAGATGACTTAAAAAAAAATACTAAATTGTTGGCAGACATTTTTGGTGCATGACTTTAATCCCAGCACTTTGGAGGCAAAAGGAGGCAGATCTCTGTGGGTTCCAGTGCCATCATTGGGCTGGTCACTATGACACACATTCCAGGATAGCCAGATAGCTTGAGTTTCATAGTGAAACTGTCTTCAAAAAAGGTATGCCAGCATTCATATCAAGAAGCTCACAACAGACTATAATACAGTTCAAGGGGATCTGATGCCCTCTTCTGGCCTTAAAGAGCATCTGTACAATGTGCACATATATGGAAAGATACCTAACATACTCAAAAATAAACATTAAAAAAAAATCTTTTTTAAAAATAGAGGGCAAGTGCCAGGCAGTGGTGGCACATGCCATTAATCCCAGCACTTGGGAGGCGGGAAAGGCAGGGAGATCTCTGTTGAGTTCAAGGCCAACCTGGTCTTACAGAACAAAGTCCAGAATAGCCAGGGTTATAAAGAGAAACCCTCTCACAAAAAACCACAAACCATCAACCAAATTAGCAAAAAAACAAAAAAGAGTGGCCAAGCACTGGTGATATACTTCAGTGGTGGAACTTTTGCTTAATAAAGTGTGGAGGTTTAACAAAGAATAAGCAACATCTCTGATAGGGTGAAAAAGATAGGATAAGATACGAAGGGAACACCTAGACCTTTTTTTTTTTAAAAAAAAAATTATTTATTATGTATACAATATTCCATCTGTGTGCATGTCTGCAGTCCAGAAGAGGCCACCAGGCCTTTCTACAGATGGCTGTGAGCCACCAGGTGGTAGCCGAGAATTGAACTCAGGACCCTTGGAAGAGCAGGCAATGCTCTTAACCACTGAGCCATCTCTCCAGCCCCCTACCTAGACCTTTTTATTCTGGGTTAATTTTGTAATGTTGAGTTTACTATCTGGTGCTGGGTACAATCCCTAGCACCTAAACCCAAACTAAACAACCCCCCAAGAAAATAAGACATTACTATTTCTGTTTTACTGATTGGAACACACACCCACAAAAGAGGAGTCTATCCAAATGTGACTTGGCCACGATAGGCTTTGTAACTATTCCATGCACTCTATCAACACAAGAAAACTCAATTTCCTTTGTAAAAACAAAACTTACCAGATAGAAAGGGGAACGAGGTGGTGGTGGGGGCTGGCGCCGAGGCCGGGGCCCACTGAACGAGGTAGCAGTGGGAATAGGGCTGGGAGGACCAGATCGCAAAGTCAGTGTCTCAGGCTCATCCTTGGGAACAGATAACCTGTTTACCATGGTGACAGGTATGGAAGCGGCACCAGATGATGAAACGACGAGGGAAGACGCCTGGGAAGCTGCAGCCTGTGTTAAGGCTGGGGCCAGTGCTAAAGTCTGCGTGGTAGATGAACCCAGAGTGGGCACAGGAGTAGGGGCAGGGCTCAAGGTCAGTGTTTGCACCGAAGTTGGGACCAGGAGTGAAGCTGACGATGATGCTGGAGCCAAAGTCAGTGTGTGAGCTGGAGCTGGGCCTATTGGAGAACTTGGAGCCAAAGAGGGTGCTGAAGCCAGAGACAGTGTTTGAGTCGGACCCAGTGGTGCTCCTGGTGCTAAAGACAGTGTCTGCACTGGCGGTGGTACCAGGGATGATGCTGGAGTCAATGACAATGTCTGAGTTGGAAATGGCCCCTGAGGGCTCCCTGTTCCCAAAGAATGTGTCTGAGACGGAGACAATCCACCAAGACTTGCTAAAGTTGGGGCTAGGGTCAATGTCTGACTTGAAAGAGGTGATGAAACTGGGGTTGATACCACAGTTTGAGTTGATGAGGGAGCCATCACAGGAGTTGAGGCTGATACCAGTGATGATGAAGGTAAAGGGGTTCCTGGCATTGATGGTGGCGTTATGGCTGGAATTGGAGTCTGTGATGGAGCCAGAACAGGAACAGAGCTTGGTGAAGGAGCTAGGACTGAAAGTGGAGCCAAAGGAGAAGCTGGAGAAGGGCCCAGGATTGCTGTTTGTGAAGCAGCCATAGGAGTCAGAGAGGTGGCTAATGCCTGAGATGTAGAAGGTGCTGGAGCCAGAAGAGAAGCCTGAGCTGGAGCTGAACTTGGTGATACTGGGAAAGGACTGGTCAGAGCTGAAGCTGGCACCAGGACAGGTGAACATGCTGGGGCCACAGCTGAGTTCAATCCTGGAACATGTGAAGAGGTGGTCGCCAACAACAGAGAGTGACCAGATGTCTGAGGTGGGGACAGGGCTGGAGTAGTAGCCAAACCTAGAGCCAAGGCTGACACTGATGGGGGAACGCCAGCTGATGCCAAAGGTGGTCCAGAGGCTGCTGAGACAACAGCCAGTGCTGGAGCCACACTGGTCAACAAAGCCGGACCTAAATCTGAAACAGGCAAGGGGGCTGTGATGGGAATGGTTAGCGGAGCAGAAGCTGGGGTGGAAAGTGTGGTAGGGACAGAGATGGGAAGTGAAGATGACACAGGGACTGAGACTGTAGAGCACACAGGACTAGCAAGGGGAGAGGAATTGTGAATTGTCAGTGGAGAAGAGGCTGGTCCAGGGAGTGAGGATGGCATGTGCAGAGAAGAAGAGATGGTCATGGCAGCAGCTCCAGGCGCCGATGCTGTGGAGACACAGAGGAAAGTTAGCTTCATAAAGAATTATTTTTCAGCTCCTGCCACTATCTGTCCCCATCCTTCCACTAACCCACAAGCTTTACCAACTTCCAGAAACCCTTCAGTCCCACAATACGAGGTCAAAAAATTTTTTTAAATATTTATTTATTTATTTATTATTTATACAATATTTTGTCTGTGTGTATGCCTGCAGGCCAGAAGAGGGCACCAGACCCCATTACAGATGATTGTGAGCCACAATGTGGTTGCTGGGAATTGAACTCAGGACCTTTGGAAGAGCAGGCAATGCTCTTAACCTCTGAGCCATCTCTCCAGCCCCATGAGGTCAAAAATTTAAGGAACAGGATAGCTTGGCCTTTCTTTCTCTAAGATTCTGACAAATGTATCTTAAATAGGTCAAGGTTTGAGACTAAACAAATTAAGACATTAGGGATTGTGACTAAGAAACATACGGGGCTACCAATGTCTCGTTCATTTCTGATAAAAATTTCTGGCCTCAGCTGTTATGAACTTACCACTGACTTCAGGCGAAGGACTGTGGACCAGCTTGAGGACGGGCCTCACCAGAGTAGGTGTTGGTATGGGGGCACGAGTAGTGCCCAGAGTTGGTGTCGTTAGACGGCTAGGGGTTAATGTAGGGCGTGATGTCAACACAGCTGGAAGCCCAGAACTTGAAGGCCGGGGTGCTGGTGCCAGTGGTGGAACAGGAGTCAGTCCATCCCGAGGGGCCTGTCTTACTACAATCTTCACCACGCCTGTATTGTTCACCATGGATGGCGGCACTGCAAGAGGAAGTTACATTGAGAGGAAGGTAGAAAAGAAACAAGAGACCCAAGAATGCAAGAAGTCCAGAGGAAAGAAAAAGTGGTAGACAAGATACTGGAGATATTGGCAAGAGAAACAACACTGAAGGAAGGCTAGACACACAGTTTGGCCCAGGACATGCCTGCAAGGACCAAGGCCAGATAAGGGCTGAGTAAATACAAAGGCCAAGAGCCTCACCCTGGTTAGCAGCAAGCGGAAGGCTGAGGCCAGTGGGGGCAGGGGTGGTGCTGGGGGTCGAAGAAGGCAGCACAGAGACAGGGGTGGGGCCAGGGGTCGGGGCCACGGCCTGGATGAGGGCCACATGGGCAGGCTGGCTGATGAGGTGGTGCTGCCCCCCTGCTGACACCAGGTGCACCACATTCCCTGGGTTAAGGGAAAAGAGAGAGAGAAAGAGAGAAAGAAAAAAAGAAAGAAGCACCTATCAGCTTGAGGGCAGAGGCAAGAGCAAGAGAGAGAATAGGCAAGGAGTAACAGCTCTAGAATTAACTTTTCCTATTTTTAGCAAAGACCCCTTCCTACCATTCCCTCTGGCCCTACCCACCAAACTAAGAGACATAAAGGCTGACATCCAAAGAGTCACACAAACAAAGAAGACAGAAGAGGAAAAAGGCAGGACAGGGGGTGGGTTTTACCTACTTTGCAGCGGGCGGGGCTGCCCTACAGCCAGCTGGCGCACCTGGGCACCAGTCAAAGTCAATTTGTTGCCCTGGATTTGGAAGGTGAGAGGTTTGCTTCCCCCAGCACTCGTCACTGGACGTTGTGCCAAGGAGGCCAACTGCCCGATGCTGACCACTTCTCCAGCTACAAACAGAGAAAGCCGTATATACACAGGGCTCATGCTGTTCAAAACCACATCTCAGACCCCCCACAAAGCAACTATTTCCTGAGCCTAAACCTTTTCCATAATTTATCATACTCAACAAAGCCTTCACTCAGAATCTTTGTGTCCAGTGCCACCTGCAATCTCCTTTACATTCTCCAATGGCTTGCTACCAGACAAAGACTACCTTTTGCTCTGTAACACCTTTTTACATTTATTTTTCTCATGATTTTGCATTCAAAAGATTAAACTCAGGATCTTATACATGCTAGGTAAGTAATTTACAAATGAGTTATGTCATCCTCCTCCAAACATTCATCTTGCTGAGCTTACTACCATTCACTCATAGGAGCCATCTCCCCCACATAATAAACCGAATTCCTTGAGGTCTTTTATTTATGATTTACCACTATTTAGCAAAACACCCAGTGTGAACTAGCTGCCAAAACTTTATATTTTCCTGCTCCTCTTTTCCTATAGCTCTCTAGCATGCAGCTTCTTTATCTGAAGACCCTCATCATAGATGTCTGAAAACTTACAGGGCAGACGAGCCTGCATTTCAGGAGATAAAATGAGGCGTTGTGGTGTAGAATTTGGAGCTGGCACTGCTGTAGTGGTAACAGTTGCTATGGTGGTAGAAGTGGTGGTAGCAGCAACAGGAGAGAAAGTGTAGCCTGGAGGCACTGTGAGGGGCTTCAACAGGCTAGAAGAGCCTGGAGGTGGAGCTGGGCTCAGGCGAACTGGGGCAGGTGGGGCTGGCTTCAGTGATAGGGTTGGTGTGGGAGGCCGTGAGGTCCCACTCATGACTCCCATGGGGGATGGCAACACTGCAGATACAAACATCTGTCAGATACAACTTGACAAACGCCTTAACTGGGCTGCAAAAGTCCATACTACTACTATTCCTTCCAGTCTACTAAACACTATGTATATTCCCTCATTCTTGAACTCTCTTAATTTAACTAGTTCATACCCAGAAGCAACCCTTGTTTTCATTTTAACTCACCCTGGGGGAGAGGACCAGTAGTTGGCTGCAAGGGAGACAAGAGAACAGGTCCAGATGGCCGGGATGCAGGAACAACTGGGGTTCCAGCAGGCGAAGTTGACACCATGAGTGGTGCTGGCAGCACTGGGGGTACTGGACCAAGGGTGGGTTGGGCTAACACCTCAGGGCCTGGAGGGGGGCGGACTGGGACAGGGCCAAGGGGTGCCCGTGGGCTGTTCACCACCACCACAGTACGGCCTTCTTGCTTAGGCACTGGCTGCAGCATCCTATGAGAAAAAATTAAAGGGCTAAATAGACACAGAAGGAATGAATAAGTAACAAAAGTAATTAAGACAAGGCAGAAAGACTATACAAACAAAAAGAAAGAAGAGACTCCTCCCCCATTTTAAGGAGAAAGTGGGACAGGAAAACAAAGATAATCAGAAAGCACCAAGAAGAGAGAACAAAAACACCAGTAGCCCCTCTCAGAGCTCTTGGTCATTCTGCTTCCCCAATCCCTTTACCGCAAATACACTTTTAAGCAACTTGTACGAACTAACCTAGCTTACAAATCTTTCTATTCCAAGTTCTCCTTTTATTTCAAGAAACCCAGCCCCTTTTTCCTTTAATGCACGTACCTGTTGACTTTCATCTTGACTGGCTTGGGTCGAGGTGGGGGATCAGGAGCAGTAGCTACCTCTAACAGAGTGCGGCGGGAAAGACGGTGGCGGGGTAGAAATGTGTCAGCCTCATATCGAGAGACTCGACCCTCCAAGCCAATAAGATCAAACCGACCCATGTCAATTCGCTGCCACAAGAAACACAAAGCATGTTATCAAAGGAACCATTCTGGTAATAATGTCTTGGATATGACACCAAAAGTAAAGGTAACCAAAGAAAATGGACAATTGGACATTTAAAATTTAAATTTACATGAATGGAAGGACAGAGTAAAAAGGTAACACACAGAAAGCGACAAGGTACCTGGTACATCACATATCTGACAAGAGGTTAATTTCTAAAGTATACAAAGAACTACAGCTTGTTGACAAAACAACTAGCTTTATAAAAAGAAAATTCAGCAATGTCTTGGATATGCACACATTTCCAATGACATATAAATAAGCACATAGAAAGATACCAAAAGTGGATATCATTAGAGAAATACAAATTAAAACTACAATGAAATATCACTTCACATAATATTCATATATTTCTTTAAATCCATTGGAAAAGATGTGAACAGAACCCAGTGACACTACTGGTAGAAATTAAAATATACAGCAGCAGCTATGGATAAATAAGGCAGCTCTTCAAAACATTAAAACAGAATTATCACATGATGTAGCAACTTCATTTTTTTTAAAAAAAAAAACTAGCATTATTTCTTTCTCTTTTTCTTTTTTTTCCTTTTTTTTTTTTTTTTTGGTTTTTCAAGACAGGGTTTCTCTGTGTAACAGCCCAGGCTACCCTGGAACTCCATTTGTAGACCAGGCTGCAGGCTGGCCTCAAACTCACAGAGACCTACCTACCTCTGCCTACCAAGTGCTGGTATTAAAGGCGTGCAGAACTTTGTTTTTGAGCACTGACTCAAACTAGGAAGCAGGGACTCAAACAGATTATCTGTACATTCATAGCAGCATTCATAAAACCTGAAAGGTAGGCTGGGTATGGCAGTGCACGCCTGTAACCCTAGCATTCAGGAGGCTGAGGCAGAAAGATCTTGGTTTCAAGGATGACCTATACATAGCAACACACCCTGTCTTTTTTATTTAAAAAATAAATTCATTCATTCAAAAGGTAGAATCTGCAAGTCAAATGCCCACTGAAAAATAAGTAAATAAAATGTGACATTATCCAAACAATGGAATACTATTTAGTCCTAAGAAAAGAAATCTGCCTGAGGAGAGGATCTGAAGCCCTGTTTGGCTTTGGCTTCTCCAACAAAAACTCTCACCTGGAATTCCTTGATTTCCACCCTGCTGGCCAGCCCTACAAAAACTCCCAGGCTGCTAGCCCCCAGTGAGCCAATTCTTCAAAGTCAAAGTAAGGCTAGCAAATATTCTGGAAGAGAAGTGAGGAAGTGAAGTGGACAAAATTGTGGGCCTCGTTGAGTTCTAGTTTCTGTTGCCCTCCCCTAAACAGGACAGCTGATTGGTATGGAAAAGGAATCCGGTATACCTACTAGCCATGCAGTGAGAGGGTACTTAATACCACTGCAAGGGACACTAGCCTCTAATCTTCAAAGTGAAAATCAGGTTTTGTTTTGCTTTTTTTCCCCAATGGAGAAAAGAGGGAAGGTGGGAGAGGGCTAGGCAGAGTTCCAGGTTTTTTAACTAGCCAGTTTCAAGGAGCACTATTTAATGGGATGGTAATGAGAGGCTCTGCTATTACCAAGATTTACATTCAAAACAGCGCCATGATTCTGATAGAAGTCCCAAGAGTAACTCTGCTACTTTCACTCAGTAGTTGGCTCTGAAATAGGAACTGAAAGGCGATCTGACAGCCTGCTACATTTCTCAGGCTATTTGTAAATATGAAAGCCAGTACCACTTTGTTGAAGATTAAGACTCCAGGCCTTTTTTGTACTTCAAGAAAAAAAAAAAGCATCTCCAAGGAGCTATTTCCCACCCCAGTCTCTATCTAGTTCACATTTGAGAATGCAAATATATGTTAAGAAAGTGTTTTGTGGTGACCTTTATACTCTTGGTAACCACAGTCTCTTAAATAGCAATATCATTTATTTAGGGGAGAAAGAGTGGCGCTGTATGTTACACTGCTACTAAACACTGGGATTAAAAACTATGCCATTATGAGCTGAATGATAAAAATACCCCTACATTTTTTGGTACTGAAAGCAGGGTATCAAAGTCTCAGATACTGCAGGGCTAGGCTAAAACTATATAGTTGAGAATGCATTTGAATTTTTAATCCTCTAACCTTCACACCTCAAGTAAGGACCACCATGATCAGTTGATATGGTGATCTGTGTATGCTAAGGAAGCACACTATCAACTGAGCTATACCCTAGGCCTAACATTCTCATTTAAGGTGTATTAACTTTAAAAATGTGTCGGGGAGGAATTTTTTTACATATATGCTAAGGTATAAATAAATAAGTACCTTATGATTCTGTTTCATCAAGTACTCAGAATAGTAACAGAGTAGAATAGAATGACAGATGTCGGGGATGAGGAGAAAGGGAACAGTTGTTCAACAGGTATAATGTTTCAGCTTAAGAAAACAAAAGCTGCTCTGAAGATGGATGGTGGGGATGACTACACAACAGAAATTCCTCATGTTGCTGAAATGTAGACTTAAAATAGGTTAAAATGATAATTTGTTGAGTCTGGTTCACAGTTACAAAATTAAGGGAATTCAGGCTGACAGCACATGCCTGTAATCCCAGTACTTAGAAGGTAGATGCAGAACAATTAGGAGTTTGAACTTTTCCTGGAATAGATGAGACCCTATCCCAAAAGAGCAAGCCTGGTGGTACATGCCTATCATCTCAGTACTGGGTAGGCAGAGGCAGGCAGACCTGTTCAGCATGGTCTATATAGTAAGTTCCAAATCAGCCAAGGATAAATAGTAAAACCCTGTCTCAAAAACAAAAAAAAAAAAACAAACAAAAAAAAAAGAAGAAAAGGGAATAAGAAAAATTAGTATTTATCAAATAGTTATAGAAATGACAGACATTTTCAAAAAGTGTTAACTTGACTCTCCAGCATATTGTAGGCTAGGCTCTATAATCCCTGTTTTTATGAACAAGGAAGCTCAGGCTAATAATTAACTTGCCAAAGGTCACATGGCTAGAAAATAATGAAGATAGGAAAATAGTACTGATTGATGAAATATGGAAATAGTAAATATGCCAAAGGTCAGACACTAAATAAGAGGTAGGAAGTTTAGATAAGAAATCACTAACCTTAGGGGCAACTACATACCTGGAGTGGGTGGACATCAGTGGCCCTTAGCACCAGAGAGGCGGTGCTAAAGCAGATGCCTGGGGTGATGAAAGGGGAGGTAACAGGTCGAGGGTCAAATAGATTTGGATGATTGCAGACTTTCCGCAACTGCATCAAAATGTTGATGACACTCATGAAATGGCCTGTAGCTAGTGTCTCCTTAGTTCTGGGGAGAGAGGAAAAATCAATAAAGGACATTCTGCCAGCTACCTGCATTCTAACCCAGAGTACCAGGGTCTACCCTCAGTCCTCCCTTACGTGGTTTGTGCCATGAAGTCATCATAGAGACAGCGCTGGCGCTTGGAAAGCCGGCATCGGATAACATGCTCATACTTTTTGGGCATCTGCTTCTCAACATCCACCTTTACTCGGCGAAGCAAAAAAGGTCGCAGAACCTAAAGGCAAATAAGCAGGGTGCTAACAGAAGAGTGGGCACTAAGCTCCCCATAGTCCATCTAGATCAGATGCGTTTCGGGCCCAGGATAGTCAGAGTACAGGTTTAATTCATCAGCAAAATGTCAGCAGGCATGTCAGATACCAATTACACAGATGCAAATCTTCCTTTCATGTAACTTACTGTTTACAGAGAAGATGAACACAAAAATAATTGTACCACAACATACAAAGATGCACCAAGAGCAAATTAACTTTGAAAGAGAGATGACTCAAATTACATTTGGAGGAATGACTCTTTGTTACATGCCTACAAAAATAAACCAGGCATGTTAAGTCTGTGTGACTGTAAACCCAGCCACTTTGAAAGAGTGAAGCAAGCAAATTACTTGGATCTGGGAGTTCAAGACCAATCTGGGCAACCTAATGAAATCCTCACCAAAGGAGTAACATAAACAAACAAGTAAATAAATAACCCAGGTGAGAAGCTAAATAAAACTTGTGGCTCTGAGCAATATACAACTCAGTGAAAGAGAGAGTATTCTTAACATGTCTAAGGCACTGGACTCAACTGCCAATACTTTGGGGGTAGGGAGAAACTGGCTTTTACAGTCTAAAGTTCTAGAGGTGAAAAAATCTGTAATCAGGGTATAAAATCTTGTAAGAGCAAAAGCAGGCCGGGCGGTGGTGGCGCACGCCTTTAATCCCAGCACTCGGGAGGCAGAGGCAGGCGGATCTCTGTGAGTTCGAGACCAGCCTGGTCTACAAGAGCTAGTTCCAGGACAGGCTCCAAAGCCACAGAGAAACCCTGTCTCAAAAAACCAAAAAAGAGCAAAAGCAGGTTGATTTCTATGAGTTCAGGCTAGCCCGATCCAGTTCCAGGACAGCCAGGGTTACTTAGAGACATTGTCTCAAAAAAAAAAAAAAAAAAAAAAATGCTGGGCAGTAGTGGCACAGGCCTTTAATCCATTGACTTTGTCACTTTGTCAAATGATGATATAACTGACCGAGGAGATAGAGTGATAACACCAAAAATATGTGCTGAGAACAGAATAACCTCAAGAGAAATTATCAATTAAAGATCCTACGTACAGCGGGCTACAATAGCACTAGCCTTTAACCCCAACACTTGGGAGGCAGAGCAGGCAGACTGAGTTCCAGGCCATCCTGGTCTACAGAACACAGTTCCAGGACAGTTAGGACTGTTATGCCTGTCTCAAACAAAAAATAAACAAAATCAAGAAAGATCCTATATACTACCAACTCAGAAACTGAGTAGCCTTAAATTCAAGCCTTGCTTTGGCTACACAGAAAGATCCTGTTTCCTTTAAAAGGGGGTGGGGATAATGTTATTCTTTTTCTTTTTCTAAAAAACAAACAAACAAACAAAAAACAGGGTCTCACTATGTAGCTCTGGTTGTCCTAGAACTGACTATGTAGATCAGGCTGTCCTTGAACTCACAGAAATCTATCTGCCTCTGCCTCCTGAATGCTGGGACTAAAGGCATGTGCCACTATGCCAGGCAATTTGTTTTTAAATCTATTTTTGTTGTTTTGAGACAGGGTTTATCTATACAGGCCTGGTTATCCTGGAACTCACTATATACACCAGGCTGTCCTCAAACTCAAGAGATCCAGCTGCCTCTGCCTCCTAAGGGCCGCGACTAAAAGTGTGTCATAAAATAATGTTTTGCTTTTTATAGGAAAAAGAAAAACAGCTAGGTATAGTGACACCCACCTTTTACCCCAGCATTCAAGAGAAAGAAGCAGCAAGGTCTTCTCTGTGAATTTCAGGCCAGCTATCACTAACTATTGAGACCTTATCTCAAAAGCAAAAATAGCTAGTAGGTCTGGAGAGATGATTCAGAGGTTAAGAGCACTCACTGGTGCTCTTCTAGAAGTCCTGAGGTCAATTCCTAGCAACCACATTGTGGTGCACAACCATCTATACTGAGATCTGATGCTCTCTTTTGGAATAAAGGCATACAATAAATAAATAAATCTTAAAAAAAAATAATAAACAGGACTGGAGAGATGGCTCAGAAGAGAACTGGCTGCTCTTCCAGAGGTAGAGTTCAATTCCTAGCGACCACATAGTGACTCACAACCATCTATAATATGATCTGGTGCCCTCTTCTGGCCTGCAGGTGTATATGCAGGCAGAACACTGTACACATAATCTTTAGAACAAACAAATGAACGAGCAAACAAACAAATAAATAAATGCAGCTAGCCAAAACCTGAATGCTGAGCAAGTCATCTGGAAATTTAAGCAATTATAAACACAAGCAAAAGAGTTGTTACCACACAATGTTTTGGGAATGAGTATGCTTGTGAAATATATAGATTGGGAAGATCAAAGGACCAGAACAAAGGAAAAATTATTCTGTGGTTAAGGGGGCATACTGAAGACAAGCAGAGGTGGCGCACACCTTTAATCCCAGCACTGGGGAAGCAAAGACAGGTGAATCTATGTGAGTTCAAGGCCAGCCTGGTCAACAGAGCGAGTTCCAGGATAGGCTCCAAACAGAGCGAGTTCCAGGACAGGCTCCAAAGCTACACAGAGAAATCTTGATTCAAAAAAAAAAACAAAAATAAATAAATAAATGCAAAGATTTGTGGAGGACTTAAGTTCTGTTGCCAGTATCCATGTTATGTGGCTTACAACAGCTTGTAACTTCAGCTCCAAGGTCCCCAATGAGTGTATACACATACACACACACACACACACACACACACACACACACACACAAAAATAAGTCACATGGAAGTGATGGTGCATATTTTTAATCCCAGCACCTGGGAAGCAGAGGCTAGCCTGGTCTACAGAGTGAATTCTAATACAGCCAGGGCTACACAGAGAAACCCTGCCTTGAAAAACCAAAGGAAAAAAAATAAAAAGAAACGGACGGGGTGCTTCAGAATGTTGAAATATGTTGTTGAAAAGCTGAAAAAGCCAGAGACAACATCCTCAACAGAAAGAGTCAAGAGATACAGTTCAGTGATAGAGTACATGCCTAGCACGTGCAATAAGGCCCTAAATTTAATTTCAAGGACCACAAAAGGGCATAGAGGCACATGCCTTTAATCTCAGTTCTCATGAGGCAGAGGAAGACGCAGCTCTGTGAATTCAAGGCCAGACTGCCTGTTCTACATATGAAGTTCTAAGACAGCCATGGTTAGTTACATGGAGAGAGCCTGTCTCAACAACAACAAACAAACAAACAAACACACACATTCAAAAAGTCTAGACTGGGGCTGGAGATGGCTCAGTAGTTAAGTGCATTGGCTGCTCTTACACAGAACTTGGGTTCAAGTCCCAGCATCACATAGGCTCACAACTATCTATAACTCATTACCAGAGTATTCACATTCTTCTGACTTCCTTGAACACTAGGCAAAGTGTGTAATGCAAATAACATATTCAGGCAAAACACTATACATATAAAAATAAAAACCTAAAAAATAAGTTTATCCAGATAAAGAGAAATCATAGCACAGTATCAAGATCCAAAGAAAATTAAAAAAAAAAAAAAACAACAACAACAGAAAACAAAGAGTATCTAATGCAAAGCAGCTCAGCTTGGCAATGGTTATTATCTAGAACAGTACAGTTTGACAACTTAGTTCAGCCTAGCACTGACTTCTAAAACTTTACTAGGTTACTGTCCTTATTTAATTTTTATTATTATTAATACTTTTACAAACAACATAGGCCCTACCTTGTGAAGGCGTTTGACTAGACCTTCATTATATTCTTGGCTTCCCTCAATCATGCCAGTTAGAGGGTTAGAGAACCACTCCTTGAACTCTCGATGAGACTGGAAGACATGTGGCATCAAGAAATGCATCAAGGACCACAGCTCCATGAGGCTATTCTGCAAGGGAGTTCCTGTCAGGAGCAGGCGCCTCTGGCTGTAAAGAGAGAAGGAATTAGAATGAAGATAGTCAGGAGAATCCCAACTTTCTTTCTTTTTATGGTTTTTCGAGACAGGGTTTCTCTGTGTAGCAGTCCTAGCTGTCCTGGCACTCAATCTGTAGACCAGGCTGGCCTTGAACTCACAGAGATCCGCTTGCCTCTGCCTCCCAGTGCTGAGATTAAAAGTGTGTACCACCATCACCCGACTCTTAATATACTCTTAACCCAGCAGCCAACCCTTCATTCAAGACAACTCTCCGACAAATCTCTATATTCATTTTTACCTGTTGAAGTTGAGCAGTGACTGCCACCGTTGGGACTTGAAATTCTTGATGTTCTGAGCCTCATCCAGAATGAGATAGCGCCAGTTCTTGCGACGAAAAGCCTGGTGATCCTGTAGCACCAGCTTGTAAGATGTGATACACACATGGAAAGCATTGGGCTTGGTCCAGCCCTAAGAGGTCAAAGAGAAAGAAAGCAGCATATAATAAAGTGGAAAAAACACACAGAAAAATACAAGGGGAAAGGGAAGACATGTTAAAGTACTCAAAGACAGAAATCAGATTGTGAGAAATTAAATAGTACCAGCAAGAGAATGAAGCAACAGGAAAATAAGGCTAAGTAATTAACATAAGGATCTAAAACTGAAGGACATTAATAAGGAAAGTGACCACACAGAAGATCAAACCTGCCGCTTGAGCTTCCTCTCCTTCTGAGCTCCATAGTAAGTGAGGATTTTAAAGCTTGGACACCAACGTTTCAATTCCATCTCCCAATTCAACATCACGCTGGTAGGAACAATGATTAAATGAGGACCCCAGTTACCTGTTTAGCAAAAGAAAAGACATATTAAGATGGAGGTGGGGGTTCCTTGGACTTCCCACAGGACAGGGAACCCTGATTGCTTTTCGGGCTGGGGGGGGGGAGGGGAAGGGAAATGGGAGGCGGTGGCGGGGAAGAGACAGAAATCTTTAATAAATAAATAAATTAAAAAAAAAAAAGACTGTGTAAACCTTGTAGCTCCGGGTTTTTTTTTTTTTTTTTTTTTGGTTTTTCGAGACAGGGTTTCTCTGTGGTTTTGGAGCCTGTCCTGGGACTAGCTCTTGTAGACCAGGCTGGTCTCGAACTCACAGAGATCCGCCTGCCTCTGCCTCCCGAGTGCTGGGATTAAAGGCGTGCGCCACCACCGCCCGGCTAGCTCTGGTTCTTAAACAGACCCTGACTAGCATCTTCTGATGCTACTTAAGACTTCAGCACCTATGCTGTCGTCCTTATATCATTACTGACAAGACTCAAGGAGGTTACCATGACAGCAGTACTTTTCTGCGGGGAAAATCTCCAGTAAATAAGATGTCCTACCAGTAGTTAGCTAAGAGACCCTTGGAGGTATCTACCTTTTTCACAGGCCAAGTGAGCAAGCAAGGAGATGGTCTGGATTGTCTTCCCCAGTCCCATCTCATCTGCAAGAATGCCGTTAAGCTTTTTCTCATACATGGTAACCAGCCAGTCAAGGCCAATGTGTTGGTACTCTCGGAGTTGGCCCCGTAGAAGAAGTGGAATTGGTGTCTTCACCTAAGAAAGAGGAAATTACCACACATGGTGAATATGAGGCATTTTTGTAGGAAACAGTAAACTCAAGATATGAGAAAAAGAATCATAACCTATGGATACCTGGGTAGTGGCCAACGTATAACCCTTAGGCTGGAGACTTTCAGCTGCCGCAGCAATATCAGTAATTTCTTTCTTGGGTCCTAGAGCAGTGGTGGGACCTGGGGTAGGAGGCCCACTGCCTCCATCTGCCTCACTCCTTTCCTCATCCCCAGCTAGCAAGTATTCCACCCCAAAATCATCATCATCTTCTTCTTCCTTTTCTTCATCTGCTTGACTTTGCGACTGAGCATCCTCAGACTCAGACTCTTCTGACTGTGAACTCCCACTCATTTCTTCTTCCTCTGAATGTTCATCTTCCTCATCCTCACTCTGCTCTTCAGCAGAATCTAAATCACAAACAAAAGCTTAGTAAGTTGTTTCTCCAACAGCTGCCAACCCCAGTTATCCTCTGAACTACATACTTACCAGACTGATTGCTACTATCTTCTTGAGCAGCCTCTTCAACTTCTCTTGTTTCCTCCAGTTCACAGTCGTAACTATTGGCTTCACCCTCATCTTCCTCTTCACTATGCTTTGAGCCTGGAGCTGAGGCATCATAGGCATAGGCCCCTGCATACTGTTGTAGTAGCTCCTCTACAGAAAGCTCACCTGATAGGGAGAAGAGAAGTAAAATTTGGTTCTTTTGTTAGGACTGGGAAAGAGTTATTTGAGTGGTACTTGTTTATTTAACCTAAGCTCCAACTCCCAGGCCCATATCTACAGGAAGTCTACAGAGTTTGCCTTTAGCACCAGATAATAAAACCAATACTTGTAACAACCAGAGTAAGTACAGCATTCTCATAAGGACAGTACCCACTCATGTAAAAATAAAATTAGAAAAAAAATTTACACACACACAAACACCTTTTTTCACTGATTGTAACTTATTATCTGCTAGTAGCACACAAACTGAATAGTATTCAGAAACTGTGTTTCTATAGAAATGGGCAATGATACAGGCTATTCAGTGGATGACTGTGTGTTTTTAATATTCAGGTGACTTGCTCAATTTGTTTCTGCTTTAAGGCAGCCAGGTGCTCTTTAGTCTTCTCCCAGACGTTTGGATTCTCTTTAGGCTTCTCTCTCTTCCAAAGGCCCCACTGATTTCTCAGAAAGGGTGCCATATCTAAACTCTCCTACCAGTCTGAGCTCAAGCCTCAGCTGGCAAGATCTTCACTTCTCAGACACCAAGCCACCAATGCTGAACCTACCGTTGTCACCTGAGCCACTAAACTACTCTTTTAAAATTCTGGTCAAATAACTTGTATCTTGCTACAGTAACCCTTCAATTGAGCTCTCAGACCAATTAGTTCAAACTCCTATCATGAACACACACTCCCTACTTAGTGCCTTTCATTTACAAATCTTCTTGGTCATTACACCTACATACATAAGAAACATATGTAATAACCAGTAACTGGAACTACAAAGAGAAAACTATCTAATCAACTGTCTTTTTTTTTTTTTTAATTTCCGAGACAGGATTTCTCAGTAGCTTTGGAGCCTGTCCTGGAAATAGTTCATGTAGACCAGGCTGGCCTTGAACTCGCAGAGATCTACCTGCCTCTGCCTCCCAAGTGCTGGGATTAAATGTGTACACCACCACTGCCCAGTTGATTTACTGTCTTTTCATCCACCAATTTTCCACAGAGTAGTGACAGAAAGTAGATTTTCAGTAAAATATCCAGTAAATGTCACCTTCTCGAGCCAACTCGCTCAGTTCCATGGCATGATCCACCTCTCCTTCTAACTGCTCTTCAGCTGCTATGGTGTCTTCTTCATCCTCTGCTACAAAAAGAGAATGAAGTTTCCATTGGTGAGGCCAAAAGGATAGTTCCAAAACCACAGTCACACACATAGTTGTGGTTAAAAACTCAGTGGAAAACAAAACAAAGACATAAAATGTAGGAAAGGGATTTGTAGGGAAGGGGGAAGGTGAGAGAATAAACCTAATTAACTACAAGAGAGCAGAGCATGTTGACACAGGCCTTTAATCCCAGCACTTGGAAGGAGACACAAGTGGATCTTAGTTCAAGGCCAGCTTGGTCTATAATCATGGATACACAATAGACCCTGTTCCAAGAAAACAAACAACAAAAAAGACAAAACCGGTCTGACCTTCATCTTCATTAGCAGTAAACTCTTCATCATCTTCATCTGGATGCCAACGCTGTTGGTTGTGCTGTGTGACAGAGGAAGGTGGAAGGTTTACCTGTATGGGAAAGGATAAAAAGTGGGAGGACTCAACATTTGAGCACAAAGTTGGGGTGTTGTGGCAAAAGCCTTTAATCCTAGCATTGGGAGGCAGAGGCAAGTCTGTAAATTCAAGGCCAGCCTGGTCTACATAGTGAATTCCTGGACAGCCAGAGTCAAAAACCAGTAACAACAAAAAAGTCAGTTATGGTGGCACACACCTTAAATCCCAGTACACGGAGGGGGGATCACTGAGTTTGAGGCCAGACTGGTCAACAAGCAAGTTTCAGGACAGCCAGGGCTATTACACAGAGAAATCCTCTCTCAAAAATCCAAAAACAAGCAAAAACAAACAAAATAAATAAAACCCTGAAAGACACAGAGTTGAAGATCAGAAAAGCATTACTGTTCCCTTGAGTTAACAGCTGCACTGATACAGTATCAGGGCAAGGATGTAATCAAGGATTTTATCTCAGCACCAGCTACCAAATCCTGACCCTACTGACTGAGGGAGGACCTGTGAAAGTGCTAGGAAATTAATAAAGTGGAACCAAGTATGCGCGCTCAAGCCCTTAATCCAAGCACTCTAGAGGCAGAGCTTTTTTAATTTGAAGCCAGCCTGGTCCACACAATGAGTTCCAAGCCAGCCAGGGATGCATAGTAAATATGTCTCGAAAACAAAACAAAACAGAAAAAAGAAGAGAAAAAAGGAAGAAAAGGAGTGAGGGAACCATCAAAATGGCTAAATGGTCATTAGCTGGCCCGACAACCAAAGCTCAATTCCTGGAACTCATGTAAACAAAGGCTAGAACCAACACTACAAAATTGCCCTCTGATTTCCACATGTATACCCACAAATACAAAATTCTAGTAAGTTTTTTTAGGTCCATATAGTCTAAATAAATGCTAGGCCAGCCAGAACCACGTAGCAAAATCCTGTCTCAAAAATAAATAAATAAAATGAAATTTAAAAGTAAATAAATGAAGGGTGGTGGCTTATCAGTAAGAATATTTGCTACTCTTCCAAAGGAACCAGCTCACAACAATCTGTAACTCAAGGTTCAAGGGATTCGAAGACTAGCCTCTGTTGGCAACCACACTCAATTATACATATCCACAGAGAAAGACAAATCTACACATAATTACAAATAAAAGAGCACATAAAATTTTTTAAAAAGATTTATTTATTATGCATAAGATGTTGTCTGCACATATGTCTGCAGGCCAGAAGAGGGCACCGGATCTCATTACCGATAGTTGTGAGCCACCATGTGGTTGCTGGGAATTGAACTCAGGACCTCTAGAAGAGCAGCCAGTGCTCTTAACCACTGGCCATCTCTCCAGCACCATATAAATTTTTTTTTTTAAAAAATAAGCTCAAAAAATAATAATAATAGTAATTTTTAAAAGACCCTTAATATGCATTAGAACCCCATGGTACAAAGGTCTAAAAGATTTTATTTTTTTTAATATTTATTTATTTATTATGTATACAATATTCTGTCTGTGTGCATGTCTGCAGGCCAGAAGAGGGCACCAGACCTCTTTACAGATGGTTGTGAACCACCATGTGGTTGCCGGGAATTGAACTCAGGACCTTTTGGAAGAGCAGGCAATGCTCTAAACCACTGAGCCATCTCTCCAGCCAGAGATTTTATTTTTTTGGAGACAGCATCTTACTATGTACCTCTTGCTATCTTGGAATTCATTATGAAGATTAAACTGGCCTCCAGGATCTACCTGACTGCCTCTTGAGTGCTGGTATAAAGGCATATAACACTACATCTAGTTCGAAGAGATTTTTAGGATGAACATCACAATTCCCAAATTCATATGACCAAACAATTTATATATGTGTGTATACGTGTTTGTTTGCACATTTGTGCATGCTTGTGGAAACCGGAGTTCATTATCTGTTGTCTTCCTCAATCACTCTTGGCTGAACTTGGAGCTGATTTGGTTAGACTAGCTAGGCAGCAAGCCCCAAGGATGCTCCTGTCTCTGCCTCTTAAAGCCAAAACTCCTGAAACATACCACTGCACAAACCTTTTTTGTGTGGGAAACTGGGAATTGAACTCAAGTACTTTACCAACTATGCTATCTCCCTAGCCCTTCCCTTGCAAATTTAAAGTACAATAAATGTGCTTATTATTAGAAACCTGCAACTTGACCCAAATCATCATCTTCCCTAGCAATGAAACCCCAACTGTCTTTAATTCAGATTCTCAAAATCAGGGATCAACCTAAGAACACAACCACGATTTGAGAGCTGAAACTCCATCTACTTCCTCTCTGAATCTTCCTTTCTGTACCTCTTCTATATGTACCTCCAAATCCTGAGACGGTTCTTCTTCAACATTTTCTTCAGGCCCATCGTGGGTATCACTGTCATGAGATGAGGGTGTTTGAGAGGGGCTGGAAGGTACACCCAATAGCTGAGGGGGGAGGGAACGCAGCAGTTCTTCCAGTGGCAGTTCTCCCTCATGTCGAAGCAGTTCAATCTCACGCCTCTGGGTCTCTGCATCATTGCCTTCCTGCTGTTCTTCAACCTCAATGGTCTCCTCATCATCCTCTTCTTCCTCTTGGGGTTGGAAGTCCCCATCTATAGCAGGAGAACAAGGTCACAAAATCCACGGGCCCTGCAAGCCACAGGGTGGGTTTTTCAGCTCTGGAAAGGGCATTTGGGAAAAGTAACAGGACCAAAGAGCACACACACCTTCATCATCCAGCCGAGAAACAGGGGGTGGAGGACTGGATGCTGCTGAGGAAGAACCAAGACAAGGGGAGGAGCCAGCTTTGCTGCAGGCTAGTGGCTGGTTAAGGCTCTGAGACAGAAGGTCCGAGTACTTCTCAGTTTGTCCCACAATGAAGTCCAGGTGCAGATCCAAGGCTTTCTTACGTTTTTCTTCAAGCCGGGACTGTTGTTTGAATTGTACCACCTACCATAAACACAAAAGGCATCAGTCACCCATATATTCACTTTTTAAATTTACATACTCTTTTAGCCAAATATTTAGGGAGACTACCTTTATGAAAGGCTTTGGCCTAGTCATTTAGAAATTAAAGCTAAAAATTCTTAAGGGGCTTATGATTTAAATAGTACTTCTGGAAAAAGAAAAAAAACCCAGAAACTGAATAAATGCAAGGTCAACTTAGTATCAAGGACCTGGAGAAGATTAGCAATTCTATCTGAAGTTAAACCTTTAAAAAAAAAAAAAGTGGTTGGTCAGTGATAGCACACATTTATAGTGTCAGCAGAGGCAGGCAGATCTCTGAATTCAAGCCCAGTCTGGTCTACTCCAGTGAGTTCCAGAACAGCCAGGGTTATACAGAGGAAATCATGTCTTGAAAAACTAAATATAAACAAAATAATAAATAAATAATAGAGTATGGGGGCTACCAGTGGAGAGCAGTGGGAAGACACATGCCAAGCATAAACAAAGCCCTAGTTGGGGGGAAGTGTATGTATGTATTCTTTAACAACAAGGCAAGCAACAGCAGTAGAAAGACCATGTGTGAATAGCCAAGCCTATCAACCAACCTCAAAAAACAAAACAAAACAAAAAAACAGACCTCAAGTGAGGCAGTAGTGGCACATGCCTTTGGTCCTAGCACTCAGGAGGCAGAAGCAGACAGATCTCTGTGTGTTTGAGACCAGACTAATCTACAGAGTGAGTTCCAGGATAGCCAGGCATACACAGAGAAACCTTGTCTTAAAAACAATTTAAAAAAAATAAAGCTTGAAGTCAAAACAGAGTGATCAATGCACCAACTTAGCAGCACAAGGACCTAGGTTAATAAAATTAAAGCTATAGATGGGCTTGGTGACACATATTTTAATCCCAGCACTCAGGAGGCAGAGGAAGATAGATCTCTATGAGTTGGAGGCCTGATGGCCTGAGTTCAATCCTTAGAACTCACATGGTAGAAACAGAAAACAGACTCCCACAAATTGTTCTTTAACTTTCACCATGTGTAACATGGTGTATCTCCTCAAGTCTACATACACATACAATAAGTAAATGCTAATAAAAGAACTGCTTTGCCTCAAATAATTTCAAGCCTGGGTGTTGTTAGATAGCACATTCTCAGAACTCAGGAGACTGAAGATGGCTCTGTGCCAGGGGACGTTATATAGGGAGACCCTGTCTCAAAAACTACAAAGCAAACATGGTAGCCAGGAATGGAAACTGACAAAAAGATGAGTTCTAGACTAACCACCAAGATACTATACTCTTAGAACTCAGCACCTGAGAGGAAACAGACAAAAGAATCAGCCTCTGCTATAGTGAATTTGAAGCAAACCTGGTCTACATGAAAGTCTTATTTCAAAAATAAACAACAATAAAGGGTACTTAGAAGATGGGAGGATCAGGAGTTCAAGGTTATCATTGCGTTCACATCAAATTTGAGGCCAATGTGAGTTACATGACACCCTGTCTCAGAACTGGAAGAAAAAAAGCCAACCTGTGAAATGCAGATCTATACCTATCTCAAATAATATAGCATGACAACTATTTATGTAGTACTTTTATACCAAAATATGCATCATAAATGACCTAGAAATATTTAAAATTCCACAATTATCTGTTCATATATTATATGCATTTTATATACTGGACTTGAGCATCTCCAGATCAGATACCCACGGGGAGTCCTAGAACCAATCACAAACACAAAAAGGGAGAGAAGGGCTTCAGAGATAATTACAACTTAACATGTAAGCAAAAGGAACTTTGGTGGCATAGGCAGGTAAACAAAAACATATCTTAGAAAAAACATTCTACACACCCTACAAAGAGTAAATGGTCTGTGAGTCAAGGAGTCCTCCTCATCCCCAAAGGCACAACATATATTTTGACACTATAAAACAGATCTCTGGATGCTACTCAAAGTTTTAACTGAGGAAAAGGAAGCCAAGAATTTCTTCTTCCTTGGGACATTCGGTGGTGGAAAGGTCCAATATATAAGGAAGTATCATAAAGAACTGGAATTGCAGTGTTGAGTTCCTTGGTAAACTCTGGTCAGTCCTATCAACATGCCTCCCTCTAACCTAGGCAAGGCCATCTCCTTTTGGCCAACCTCACTCCTCACCTTCTCCACATTGCTCCAGAACTGCCTAACATCCTTGGCCATGGTAGAAGCAATTCGGCGCAGCTTGGCCTGTTCCTCTCTCCGAGCTCGTTCTTCTTTTTGTCGCTGCTCTTCATGGTGCCGGATTACCATACGTACCACCTATAGAAATAAATACCCAGGATAAAATCACTCAAGCTAAATCTACTTATCCACCCAATCAAAGACAATCATGGGTAAGAAAACACAGATGTTAAAAACTGCCTCTAAATGCAGAAAACACCAAGAAGGGATTTATAATTTCATCTCTTTCACCTTCTAAATAATTCACCCATTAAAGTTTCATTTTTCTTACTTTTTTTTTTTTTTTTTGCTAGGGAGTATGGGGGATGTGAGGGGTGGGGGGTCAAGACACGGTTTCTTGGTGTAGCCCTTCCTGCCCTGAAACTTGTTCTGTAGACCAAACTGGTCTCAAATTTACAGATTTGCCTACCTCTATGTCCCTAGTGCTAAGATTAAAAGTGTGTGCAGCCACCACCACCTGGATAACCATTAAGGTTTCAGAGGCACACCTGAAAAATATATAGACAGTAGAGCAAACAGGACATACCTTCCGGGCCACACCTCGTTTCCATCGGCGCTCCTGAGCAAAGTCAGCAGAAAGCCACTGCATTTCTTCACAGAGATAGTCCCAATGGCCTTTAGGGCGGGGAGGCTCTGGTACTTTAGGTAGTCTTTTCAACGACCAAAATCCCTCCTTTCGAAGTTCAGCAATCCGAGTTTCAATTTCAGCTTCCTAATGGGGGGTAACGACATTGATCAAGACTTCCTGGACTGGGCTGGAGAGATGGCTCAGAGGTTAAGAAGAGCACTGGCTGCTCTTCCAGAGGTCCTGAGTTCAATTCCCAGCAACCACATGGTGGCTCACAACCATCTGTAAAGAGATCTGGCGCCATCTCCTGGCGAGTATATATAATAAATAAATTAAAAAAAAAAAAAAAAAGACTTCCTGGACATACAAGCCAACTCACTGCCATGGTTGAATTCCTGACCCCTGAATGGACTGTTTTATGCTCCTACAAATTCTACAAGGTAATAGATTCTTTTGGCAGATGGTGTGGGGAATAGCTGGGAAATCAAATGTGTTTCTGAGATCGTACAGCTGAGAAAGAACTGGCAATCAAAAACAGGTCTAGGAAGCCTAGTATGTTGAGGCATGCCTTTAATCCCAGACCTTGGGAGACAGAATCTGACAGATTTCTTTGAGTTCCAGACTAACCTACTCTGCATAGCAACTTCCAAACCAATCAGGGCTACATTCTGAGACCTTGTTTTAAAGAAAACAAAAACAAGAAGCAATTAAATGCTGACATCTGATTTGCACATGCAAGTGTATACACACGCACAAATACCTATACACATTGTGTTGTTGCTATTGTTTTGAGACACAATTTCTCTGTGTAGCCTTGGCTGTCCGAGACCTTACTCTGTAGACCAGGCTGGCCTCAAACTCACAGAAATCCGCCTGCCTCTGCCTCCAGATTAAAAACTGTGGCGTGCACCACTACAGCCCAGCTGTATTTATTTTTTTAAAAAGACTATTTTGGAGCCGGGCGGTGGTGGCGCACGCCTTTAATCCCAGCACTTGGGAGGCAGAGGCAGGCGGATCTCTGTGAGTTCGAGACCAGCCTGGTCTACAAGAGCTAGTTCCAGGACAGGCTTCAAAACCACAGAGAAACCCTGTCTCAAAAAAACCAAAAAAAAAAAAAAAAAAAAAAAAAGACTATTTTGGAGACAGAGCTACAGGTTATAGTTAGCAGGTATAACGCTCTCCACCATGGAGGGATAACCAGAAAAATAGCAGATGGAGTACAAGTCACACAAAATAATTTTATAAAAACTTATCTTATGGGAAAACACTGAAGATACATGCAACTAGATTAATAATGGCTACCAATAACAAAAAGCTCTTATTTTTACGAAAAGCTTTTGCAATTCATTAAATTTCTTATTAAAAAACCAAAAAAAAAGAAAAGAACATTAATTTAAAAAAAAAAACTGTTTAACAAGTAGTTTTAAAAAAATTTAGACTAAATCAGGTGTGTTAACAACTGTAATCCCACCACTTTGAGTGCTGAGATGGGTGGGCCACAGGGAGTTATATACTTAGTTCTAGATTTATGGCAGTCTGAACTAGAATTAAGATCCTGTATCAAAATCAAACAGAAAAGGACCAAAGAGAGTTGGAGAGTTGACTCAGAGGTTAAGAGCACTGTCTGTTTTTTCCAGAGGTCCTGAATTTGATTCCCAACAACCGCATGGTGGCTCACCATACTACCTACGAGAACTGGTGTCCACTTCTGTATGGCAGACATACATGCAGCTAACACTGTATATGTAACAAGTAAATAATATTAAAAAAAAAGAAAGAAAGAAAAGGAAGGCAGGAAAGAGGCAGACAGAAAAGAGGATCAGGAGTTCAAGGTCATCCTCAGTCACAAAGGGAAGTCAGACTAGGAAAATAACAAGTTTGTGTATGTGTGTGTATGTACAGGACCGTGATACACTGGAATCACTACAGCATGGCTACCCAAATCTGATGGCCTTAGTTTTATCACCAGAGCCCAAGTATAGGTAGAAATTTTTTTTTTTTTTTTTTTTTTTTTTTTTTTTTGGTTTTTCGAGACAGGGTTTCTCTGTGGTTTTGGAGCCTGTCCTGGAACTAGCTCTTGTAGACCAGGCTGGTCTCGAACTCACAGAGATCTGCCTGCCTCTGCCTCCCGAGTGCTGGGATTAAAGGCGTGCGCCACCATCGCCCGGCTTATAGGTAGAAAATTAACTCTACAAAATTGTCCTCTTGGGGCTGGAGAGATGGCTCAGAGGTTAAGAGCATTGCCTGCTCTTCCAAAGGTCCTGAGTTCAATTCCCAGCAACCACATGGTGGCTCACAACCATCTGTAAAGAGGTCTGGCGCCCTCTTCTGGCCTTCAGGCATACACACAGACAGAATATTGTATACATAATAAATAAATATTAAAAAAAAAGTGAGAGCCAACACACCTGCTTAATTCTTACTTTAAGTCTGGTAACAGAACTCAGGGTACAGCTTGGTGGTAGAGAATTTGCCTAGTATGCGTAAAGGCTTGAGTTCAGTCCCCAGTCCCCAGGAGTGTGAAAAGAAAACAAAGTCTGAGAGTAAACTTAACAGACACTCTTATTCTGAAAAATAAAAACTGGGGTATAACTCAGTGATAACAACACTTGCCTATAGCTGGAAAGATGGTTCAGTGGTTAAGAGCAATTGTTCATGCAGAAGACCTGAGTTTGATATTCACCATCATAGTGGCTCTAACTCCCAGTTCCAGAGGATCTGATGTCCTCTCTGAACACCAGGAGGACCAGGCATGAATGTAGTATATATATACACGTAGGCAAAATACTCATATACACAAAAAATTATACTAATTAAACTTTAAAAAAAATTGAACACGGCCGGGCGGTGGTGGCGCACGCCTTTAATCCCAGCACTCGGGAGGCAGAGGCAGGCGGATCTCTGTGAGTTCGAGACCAGCCTGGTCTACAAGAGCTAGTTCCAGGACAGGCTCCAAAACCACAGAGAAACCCTGTCTCGAAAAACCAAAAAAAAAAAAAAAAAAAAAAAAAAAAAAAAAAAAAAAAAAAAAATTGAACACTCGTCTAGCATATATGAGATCTCAGTTTAGTCTGAAAGAAAGAAGGTTGGTCCCTTTCTTTCCTGTATGAGTGTTTTGCCAGCAAGTATGTTTGAACACCACTTGATTGCCTGGTGCACAAGAGAGAACTGGATCCCCTAGAACTGGAATTAAAAACAGTTACAAGCTACCATATGGGTACTGGGAATAGAACCCAGGTCCTCTGGAAGACTAACCAGTGCTCAAAAATACAGAACCATTTCCCCAGCCCTCAAAGAAAGGGAAGAAGGGAGAGAGGGGTTGGTTTACTTCAAGCAATATACTCAAGATAAAGAAGGAATTCACATCCTGAACTTACAGCTAAAAACAAAGACACAAAAAATATCTATGGCATAATAGAATTAAGTCAGACAATTCCCATGAATCTTCATTGGCCTTCCCAATACATACATGTTTAGCTTGCTCTGCAATTTCTGCATGGCTCTTCTCCCACTTTGGGCCCTTGTTGATTAGGTCAGCAGCCTGGGATAAGCTGAACCCCTCCAGAGGAACTGTGGTACCATCTGGAGGGCCTGGAGGTCCATCCAGAGAGGAATCTTGAGCTATATGTTGGGGGGAGATGCCACCTGCCCCACTAGAAGCTGGAGAACTAGATGAGGCAGGGGACACAGGATTGCTGCCTGTCATGCCGTCCGACACCATCTAGAAAAGGGGAAAATGATGGACAAAAAAAGATGATAAGCATTGTGCTAAATGTTTTAAGTACATTTTTTTTATTTCACTTCACAACAAAAAAAACTGTGTTAGTCTCATTTTTTAATCAACGCCAACACTTTGTTGGTTTGTTTCTTGTGAGGGGGAGATGATGATGATGATGAAGAGGAGAAGGAGGAGGAGGAGGAGGAAGTTGTTACAGCTGAAGATAAGGTCTCACTATGTAGCCCAGTCTGGTCTAGGATTTACAATCCACCTCCCAAACACTGGGTTAAAAAGCTAGTGCCACCACACCAGGCTTGGAAATGAAGGTTTTTTGTTTTTAAAACAAAGTAATTAAAATGGTAGAGCCCAATTTCTAGTAAATATCTAACATGTAAGACATACATGCTGATACACACTACCTGTATTCAAGACTGCTATTACAAGGTTAGATGTATAGCTCAAACACAAAAACTTGTTTTACAAGACTACTACAAAGCATGATTTCTTTTGTTCTTTAACCCATGAGACAATCTCACTATAGAGAGTAACAGAGGTAGGCCTGTCTGTATCTCATGAGTGTTATGATCAAAAGAATGCTATGATTTCAAATTTAATGGTTCTTTTAGAACCTTGATTTTTTATTTTTTGGGGGAGGGGTGGTTGAGAGAAGTAGTGCAGCCTTCCTTGGCTGTCCTGGAACTTGCTCTGTAGACCAGGTTGTCTTCAAACTCAAAGATTCGCCTGCCGCCTCTCAAGTGCTGGGATTAAAGGCGTGCACAAGCACCACCCAGGGAACCTTGATTTTACTCACATAAACTAAGGATCCACCTATGTAATTAATTTAAATTAACTTCAAATAATAGAAAAAAAAGCCCGCTAGATGCAGGGGATGGAACTAAACACCACTCTCAAATATCCATACATTATTTTACACAGTATTGACCATAAAAGCAATAATTGAAAACAATGTCCCAGCACTCAGGAGGCAGAGACAGGCAGATCTCTGCGTTCAAGGCCAGCCTGGTCTATAGACTGAGTTCCAGAGTAGCCAGGGCTACACAGAGAAACCCTGTCTTAAAAAACAAACAAAGTCCCAATAGGGAAAATGAACTCACTCATGAAATTCACTACAAAACAGAAAGTCTCAGAGAGCATCAAATTCCTACTCCAGCTAAATGCTTAAAGACTACGTATCAAAATTTTCCAGAAGCTAAGAAAAATTCTAAGAATCAAACCCATTGGAGCAATGACAGAATGCTTACGTACCTGGACTGTGCAAGGCTATGCACTGAACTCCCAGCAACATATTTGAAAGCCCAAAGGGATATGGTTCAATTATAAAGTTTGCCTTAGCATGTACAAGGCCCTAAGTTCAAAGGTCAGTACAGTAAATGAACAAACTATCAACTGAGCTACCTTCGTGGTACAGGTCTACAATCCTAGGACTCAGAAGGCTGGGGTACATAAGGAAACATCCAACTCCCTCTCCTTCCTTAGATAAGGTCACATGTTCTTCAGGTGAACCTAGAACTCCCTACGTAGTTGAGAAGGACCTCAAACTTCTGAATCATTCTGCTTCCATCTTTCAAAGTGCTGGAATTACAATTATGTGTCACCATACATGGTATATATAGTACTAAGAACCAACCCAGGGCCCAACTCTGAGCCTTGTGCATGACAAGCACTGTACCAATTAAGTTAAACCCCAGCTCCACAAGAAGCCCTGTCTTATTAAGAGGGAAAGCCTATTAAATGCAAATGTAGAGCTAATTAATTTAAAAAATACCCCCCAACCCCACACTCCCACAGTATGAGGAAAGAAATAATGCCTCACTTAAGGTTTACCCTGTTCTAGTTCCAAATGAAGTTAACCTATTCTCAGAGTCTACAGTCTTAGAAGCATTTTTCCTGCCTCCATTTCCAGTCTGTTCTAATTCGACCTCTAAGGTAAGAAAGACCTATGTCTTTCCTTTCCTTTCCTTTCCTTCCTTCCTTCTTTCCTTAACTGGTCTAAGATGCGCTAAGTAGACCAGATTGACATTGATCTCATAGAAATCTGCTTGTCTCTGCCTCTAATTGCTATGATTAAAGGCATGTGCCACCATACTCCTCAAGATCTGAACCCTTGGAAGCCTACATTATTATTATGTGAAGCAGAAAGTATATCTCTAAAGCTAGGCACGGTGGCACATGCCTTTAATTTCAGCCCTTAGGAGGCAGAGACAAATGGATCCAAGTTCAGGGCTAGCGTGGTCTACAGAGATTCAGGACAGTACACAGATAAACTCTGTCTTAAAAAAAAAACAAATTAAGCCAGGCAGTGGTGGAGCATGCCTTTAACCCCAGCACTTGGGAGGCAGAGGCAGGAGGATCTCTGAGTTTGAGGCCAGCCTGGTACAGAGTGAGTTCCAGGAGAGCCAGGACTGTTACATAGAGAAACCCCGTCTTGAAAAAAAAACAAAAAAAGTATCTAACAGGCTTGACATGTTACAGTCCAATCTATCTGAAAATCCAAACTCAACTCCTCAGGCAGGTAATAAGACCTGTAAAACCATTTCTGTCTCAAAATCATTAGTCCATTAGTCCACAGAGAATAAGCACAAGAACCCTCCCCACTTTCAAACCTGTGTCTGTAGGATTGGGAGCTGAGGATGAGCAGGGGAGGGACTGCTCTGCATGGTCCCACTCCCAGGCTCCTTGCTGGATGCCTGAAGAATGACTGGGTTATTATCACCACTGCTGCAGGCCGAGGGGCTGGTGTCCGGCTGCAGGGCATGCTGGGAGCTGGCCTCATTCTGGGCCACCAGCCACCGGGACCTGCCTTCCAGGGCCCGGGGCCCACCAGGGCGTCCCAGCCTCCGCTCAGGTCCACCAACCTCTGGAGCACCTACAGTTGGATTAAAAAGAAAAAAAAAAAGTAAAGATAAAATTAAAGGCTATTAAAAGTTGTTTGGTTTTGTTTGTTGTTGTTGGGTTTTTTTTGTTTGTTTGTTTGTTTTAGACAAATAGGGTCTTAGTACACCATACAGACTGGTTTGGGACTTACTATCCTCCTGGCTCAGCCTCCAAAAAGCTGAACTGTTTCCTGGGACCGTGAGGTAGCTCAGTTGGTTACCCAGCACAAGTAAAACATGGGTTTAATCCCCCAACAAAGCATAAAACTAACACAGTGGCATATACCTTAAATCTCAAGCTTGGGAAGTAGAGGCAGAAAGATCAGGAGTTCAAGGTCATCCCTGGTTACACAGTAGTGAGTAGGAGACCCTGTCTCAATATGCTACTTATCCCCATGTTCCTTGAGCATTTACTACGTGTCAAATACTTGGAAGTACTTGCTTAGCTAGAAGAGGAAGAACATATTTGCGACATAGGGTGAAGAAGATTGTTTGAATCCAGAACTCCAGAGGTAGAGGTTTGGATTTCTGTGAGTTTAAGGCCAGCCAGGTCTACAGAGTGAGTTCCAATACAGCCAGTGCTACACAGGGAAATCCTGTTTCAAAAAACTGAGCGTGCATGGGGGATGATGATATATATCAGGTGTGGTGGTTCATATCTATAATCTCAGCACTTAGGGGGCTAACGCAGGAGGACTGTTATGAATTCGAAGTCAGTTTGGGTTACAGACTGAGATCCCTTCCGCTAAGGAAAAAAAAAAAACTGAGGCGGAGGGAGGGGGAGATAAAGGGCTAAGAACTTGGTTACTTGGTAGAATACTTGACTCATACTAGCAAAGCCCAAGACTTGATCCCCAGAATCACATGAAGTTGAGTGCCATAACTGTACAACTGAGGCAAGAGGATCAGAGCTATTCAGTTATTCTCAGCTATACAGCTTCAGGCCAGTTTAAACTATGGGAGGGTTTTTTTTTTTCTTTTTTGTCTCAAAAATAAAGAAAAAAAGAAGAAAATAGTGGGAGAACTTAAATCCTGATAGCTTCATTCCAAAACACTAAAGAAGCTGGTTTGGTGGCACATGCCTTTGTTTTTTTTTGGGGGTCTTCAAGACAGGGTTTCTCTGTAGCTTTGGAGCCTGTCTGGAACTTGCTCTGTAGGTCAGGCTGGCCTCTAACTCAGAGATCCGCCTGCCTCTGCCTCCTAGAGTGCTGGGATTAAAGGCGTGCGCCACCACTACCCAACTATTTTTTTGTTTTGTTGTTTGTTTTTGGCCCATGCCTTTAACCTCAGCACTGGGACTCTAAGGCAGGCATATCTCTGTGACTTTCAGGCCAGCCCTGTCTATACAGTAAGTTCCAAGACAGTCAAGGCTCTGCAGAGAGACCCTATGCCAGAAAGAAAAAAAACCGAACCTCTGCAGAACACTGGGCTCCTAGTACTCTTCCCGGGAGTGCTGCGACTCCACTGTTGGACCATGTTCGTCACACTCCCGTGAAAACACATGCAAAGATTTGAAGTCTACCTGAGTAAAAATCCACAAGTAACCTCTCTCTCATTATCAGTTTCTCTATTAACATAAGCACACAAAATTGTATCTGAAGTGAGCTCACCTGTGTGAGCAGAGACCACACCCCCTGTGAAAGTCTGCACTTCCACGGTGCCGCCGTGCTGTAAAGAGGGAAATCACACCTGAAACAGTAGAGGAAAGCAGCAGTGAGCAAGCAATCCACATTTGTCAATGCCTGTCTAAGACTACTTACACCAGCTTTCTGAGACCGTACACTCAAAGTCATCTCACATAACAGTAGTAGGAACAGTTCATGCTTCAGAAAAATAAAAATAACTGATTTCAGCTAGGCCTTGGGGGAATTTCTGGAGAAATGTATGAGCGATTCAGAGTATTTATTATTCTTGCAGAATTCTGGGTTTGGTTCCCAACACTCATGTGGCAGCTCACAACAGTTTTACCTCCAATTCCAGTGGCTCCAACCCACTCTTCTGGCCTGTATGGACACCTGGCATGAATGTGGCACATGTACATATGTCCAGGAATTCACAAATACATGCAAAAGCAAAATATTTTTTTTGAAAAGCGTGGTGGCAACAAAGAATCGTGCTTTGTGTAGAGAATTTCACAGGGTTGTACATTCTAGTTGAATAAGGGCAGCGAGGAAATGAAACAACACAAAGTTTTAAAAGCTAAACTACTTGAAGCGACGGACAGAAACGTTACATCCAGAAATTCACAAAGCCTTCTGGATGTCCGACTGCCGGTTTGCCTTTTCAGTGAGGACTTAATAGGAATGAAGGTGGAGTTCCCAAAAAAAAAAAAAAAAGTTGGTCACATGGAAAGGATCTTCGAAATCTGTACACGCGGGATGGAACATCCAAAGAACTTTACAAAGAGCCTACATACGGCAGGCTCCAATGAGACCCATGCTCCAGAAACAAGCAGTTAAACTATACAAGGCCCGGAATTATTTGTCCAGTTAACTCCTGTCTAGGTGCAGCGCTGCCTGGCTTCACCCTCCACATTCCGGGGCCCGGAGGAAGTCCGAAACCTAGATGCTTGAACTCTTGACCTTAGTCTTCCCTGCAGTCTCCCAAGACCTCTCAGGACAGTGACCCAGCCTGACCCCCGACCTCTACCCAAGCGTTCGCCACTCAGGCGGTAGCCACGCCCCCGCCCGGCCGCCCACCCCACCCAACGTGCGCGCCAAGCGGGGGGGGGGGGGGGGCGCGTGCGCGGCTGGAGGCGGAGTGTGCCGGCGGCGCGCACGGCCTGGGGGGGTTCCCGCCAGAACCCAAAACCAAAGACTGGGTCGCGGGACTCCGAAGTCTGCGTCCGTCGGCGCCCTCACACCAACAGACCGCAAAAAGCTGAGGAAGGAAGGGTTCGAGCGCCAAGCCTTGGGCTCTCATAAATGGAGTATGGGGGGCACGAGCCCGGACTACTCGTCTCATGCAACCTTTCCTCTTCCTCTCTCTCCCCTAAGGGGAGGCAGGTTGGTGGGCGGGCAGAAGCGCACCTGGGTCCGTCCTCTCGGGGTTTGCTCGCTCACGCACGCGTGCGCAGAAGGGCAGGAGGGCAGGGAAGCCGCGCAGAGACCAGGTGCCACCCGGCCTAACAACCCCCTCCCCTTGGTCTCTATGGGCGCGCGCAGGCAGCCTCGCTCACCGGCCCCAGGGCCCCGGCTGAAGGTGCGCGCGCAGCACCCCGGGAAGGTGGGAAGAGGCGCGAGGCGATGCGCGCGCAGTCACCCGCCAGGGGAGGGGGGAGCTGGGAAGCCTCCGCCATCTTGTCTCCCTCTCCTTACCTGCGTCCTCGGGGGCGTGCTCACCACCCCCCCTCCCGCCGAGGAGGGGGGAGGGCCCCCTCTTGGTCGCCGCCTTCACCGCTTAAAATCCCCCTAAGGGCCGCCGCTAGAGCCACCCCCGTGCTCCCGCCGCTTCTAGTCGCGCCACGGAGATGCGATCAGTAAGTTGGAAAAAGAGGAGACGCTACTCCCAGCGACCCCGCCGCCGCCGCCACTGCTCCCGAGGCCTCACCAAAATGGCCGCCGCCTTCTCGGCCGCCACCGCCACTACCACCACCACCACCACCAAGGCTCGTTATCGCTACCGCCGGAGCGGCCCGTCTTCTCGCGATACACAGTAACTGGAGGCTGGAGGGGCGGGTAGGCTCGCGTGCTAGCGTAGGACTCTTGTCTGGAGCGCAAAGCAAGGTGGGAGTTGTAGTCCTTCCTGAGGTTCCATGCTTGCCCAGCACGCATCCGCGGATCTGAAACCACTTTAACTCGAGCTGCATTGCAGCTGCTCTGGGGAACACCCTTTGGGTTTGTGAGTTTTCATTTTTATTTTTTTTTTTCAGATCATCCAGTGAAGTCAAACAAATTAGTTGTGGAACCTTAGCCACCAGTACCTTTTTTTTTTTTTTTTTTTTAAAGACAAATTCTCACAATGTTCTATGGCTGACCTGGACTCGCTAACCTTAAACTCAACAGATGCTTCTGCCTCTGCCTAGGATCAACGGTGCGAGCCATCACTACCAACTGAAGTTGACTTTGTAGCATTGGTTTTTCATGAGCCCCCAAACATCTGTGCCATAGATGTTTGTGCAAACATAGTTTGCAGGTTTTCTGCATTAAGAACCCTTTTGAGAGGCTGGGAAGAGAGCTCAGCAACGAAGAATATTGGCTAGTTCCTCTTCCAGAGGACCCAGGTTCTATTTCCAGCACTCACAGTAGCTCAAACATCTGTAACTCCAGTTTCAGGGAACCAGACACCCTCTTCTGGCTTCAAAGGTCACTGCACATGGTACAACAGACCCACATACTTGTAAAATGCCCATACATATCAAATAAAAATCCTTTTAAAAAAATGCCTTTGAGAATCTGATATTCCCTCCCCATTTTAAGGACCTGTTTATAATCAGCAACAGTTGCAAGAAAGATCTTGAGAGGGGCTGGAGAGATGGCTCAGAGATTAAGAGCATTGCCTGCTCTTCCAAAGGTCCTGAGTTCAATTCCCAGCAACCACATGGTGGCTCACAATCATCTGTAATGGGGTCTGGTGCCCTCTTCTGGCCTTCAGGCATATACACAGACAGAATATTGTATACATAATAAATAAATATTTAAAAAAAAAAAGATCTTGAGAGCCCTTGCTTACATAGCAAGACCCTGCCCCAAGACTTAACTAATAATTAAAGCATGTGGGATAAAATAAGTCAGTGACAGACATAGGAAAAGGCATTGTGGACAGTGGTGAAATGACAATTGAATAGAGACTGGAAGATTCTTCACAGCTAGGTGTGGTGGTATATGTATGCCTAGAATCCCAGCACTCACTGGTAGAGGCCAGCCTAGGATGTGCACATAGACACATACAGTAGGAAATACTCTAAACTTCAAGATATATATATATATATAAGATATATAAGATATATATATATAAGATATATATATATATATATATATATATATATATATATATATAGTCTTGCAGTAAGTATGTTTGCTTTTTTTCAGTTTAGTACTTTATTTTTAAAGATTTCTTTATTAGGTATGTTCTGCCTGCATGTAAACCTGCAGTCCAGAAGAGGGCACCAGATCTCGTTACAGATGGTTGTGAGCCACCATGTGGTTGCTGGGAATTGAACAAAGGACCTCTGGAGGAAAGTTGTTTTTTTGTTTTTTTGTTTTGTTTTTTTGTTTTTTTTTTTTTTTTTGGTTTTTCGAGACAGGGTTTCTCTGTAGCTTTGGTGCCGGTGGTCCTGGAACTAGCTCTTGTAGACCAGGCTGGCCTCGAACTCCCAGAGATCCGCCTGCCTCTGCCTCCCGAGTGCTGGGATTAAAGGCGTACGCCACCACCGCCCGGCTTTTTTTTTAAATAATTATAAAGGCAGAGCTGGAGAGATGGTTCAGTGGTTAAGACTGGCTGCTCTTCCAGAAAATCAGGATTTGAGTCCCAGAACCCTCATGGAAACGCCTAATAGTCTCTAAGTGTTGTCTTAGAGATCTTAACACCCTCTTCTGAATCAGAGCCATACATTCAGACAAACACTCAAAAATAGAGACGCTATGCTTCCCCTCTCTGGGCCAGATGCAATGAAGCAAGCTGCCAGGTCAGACATGCTGAATCTTTTCCGGTAAGACTGATGCTACACAGATTATTAGAGATGGGTTGATTGGGATAAGAGAATTAGCCTGTAAGGGCTAGAGTTAATGGGCCAAGCAGTGTTTAAAAGAATACAGTTTGTGTGTTGATATTTCTGGTGTAAAGCTAGCCGTGCGGGAGCCGGGCGGGCCAAAAAGCAGGCCCGGAGCTCCCACAACACAATGGCGCCCAGACGTGTGGACAACTGAATCCGCTGAAAGCCTAAGAAAGCTTGGGAAAGAATAAAGCATGTTTTCTTGGTAGCAACAATTTCTTGGGTCTACTCTGCTTGTTAGAGGCAAGCAAGCCCTCTCATCTAAGAGAGGCTTCCTGACTCAGCTTTAGCTGCAAAACCCTGCAGCTCATTAAGAGGTCCTGCCACGAAACACTTAAATGGTATTGAAAAGATGACTGCATGCTTGTTTGTTTTCAGCAGTAGCAGGAAAATGTTGTGCTGTTTTAAAATGCCGGCCGGGCGGTGGTGGCGCACGCCTTTAATCCCAGCACTCGGGAGGCGGAGGCAGGCGGATCTCTGTGAGTTCGAGGCCAGCCTGGTCTACAAGAGCTAGTTTCAGGACAGGAACCAAAAGCTACGGAGAAACCCTGTCTCGAAAAATCAAAAAAAAAAAATAATAAAATAAAATAAAATGCCAGCTTTCTGAGCCATCCTGCCAGGGCAAACTCTGTTTGAGGCTGGAGGACCAACTACAGAGAGAGGACTTGAGTGTTGTCTGTGGACATAATGCTGCAGCTTACTTGCTGGCAAGGACCTTGAAACACTGTAGACTTGTGGCACTGAACGCGGCTCTCTCCGGTACCTCAGCCACAAGGTTGGTATGGCAGAAAGCTAAGGAATGGGCTGGGCTGGATCCAGCGGGCAAAGCCACGGCTTTAATCCTACCCATATTGCTCAGTAATTTAAAGACTCATGTGGTCAGAAAAAGAGGGAGAGATACAGTAAAAAGAGATTCAAAGACAAAGAAAATTTCTAAATGATTTACAGTGTGTTAAAAATATATGCAAGCTAGGAGCTGGGCGGTGGTGGCGCACGCCTTTAATCCCAGCACTCGGGAGGTAGAGGCAGGTGGATCTCTGGGAGTTCCAGGCCAGCCTGGACTACAAGAGCTAGTTCCAGGACAGGAACCAAAAGCTACAGAGAACCCCTGTCTCGAAATATACATATATATATATATATATATATATGCTAAAAGTTAAAGTTCTTAAAAGTAAAAAATGAAAGAAAGAGAGTAGTTGGGTATGGTAGTACACACCTTTAATCCCAACACTTGGGAGGCAGAGGGAGATTGACCTCTGTGACTTCAAGGTGTGGTAGCACACGCCTTTAATCCCAGTGCCTAGAAGGCAGAGACAAACAGATTTTTGTGAGTTCAAGGTGTAGTAGCATACACCTTTAATCCCAATGCCTGGGAGGCAGAGACAGGCGGATCTCTGAGAGTTCGAGTACAGTCTGGTCTACAGAGTTATTCCAGGACAAAGATATACAGAGAATATAAAATAAAAGTAAAAATAAACGAAATAGAGGTTAAAATAAAGCCACACAAAGATGTAAAATACACAGAGAATCTTGATACTATATGCTATTATGCTCTCTTTGAATTGTTTGAATGCTGAGAAAAGAGCTATAGCTGCTAAAAGATATTTGTTTATAAATGCTGCTGAACTAATCCAACATAGATATTTTGAAAATGCCTTGACTTTGAAATTTGGATCTAAGGACATGATGCTTTGGAAAGGAGTTTCTTATTTTGTTTTCACAGAGGGTGAGAGTCTGTGGATTGCTTCTATCCCAATATGGTATGATGGACCACGCCCTCCTGAAGGGTTGGTGTGAACACCTTCAGAAAATTGCTTCGCTCAACTGCCAACTGAGATGAAACTAGCACACAGGTTATACCATGAAAGACCTAATTAACGACACCCCCATTCAGCAGGAAGCAGTTTGGAGAGAAAAAACTGCGCCCTTGTTCCCAAATATGGTTTATAAACGTTCTTTTACATTTAAAGGGGGATATGATATAGATATGAATAATTTGCATTAGTATAGATTTTGCTTTATTGATAGAGATTTAAGGTCAATTTTGTTACATGTATATGTATTTCTGATCTTTATTAAGGTATTGTGATTGTGTAGTTCACTTAAAAATGTAATGTATATAGGTTGTTAATGGATAATCAATAATAGTCAAGCTTGTAGTCATGTAAGTTAAGATTTTCTAGATATACATAGATATATTTTAGATAGGCATTCTTCATATTTTTCAAAGATTATAGAATATGGCATTTTAAATGTTTTAATAACTTAGGGCTTTTCATGACAATGAGACACTCTGCTCCTGGCAGCACCAATCTACTTCAAGAGGAAGATGGGCATCGAAGAGGATCCTTATGGAGTTTGATAGCCATTTGGGCAAGAAACTGCTCTTGCCTGGACTATTGCATAAACTGGACACAGAGAACCTGCAGAGAGAGGACTGCTGAACTTGCCTAAAGGTGAGATGATCTTTCGGAGTTCCTGATTCATGAAGGAGTCTGCAAGACATTCTGCAGGACACAACAGATAGTGACTGAACTGACTTTGAGATTTCCTGCTTCATGGAAATGTCTCTGGATACTGTGGGCCTGTAGGACGAAGATGGATGCCCCAACGGTACAGAGAAACTTTGGGTGACTGTCAAAGCAGCGAGATGTCTCTGTCATTTCTAGAGTTTGAAAGTTGCTTATTTCTTGTTCACTTAGGTAATATTGTATCTTTCTGGAGTCTTTGATGGAGTTGAAGAATAGTTAGTTATAGTTATAGTTTTCCTTAGTTATGATAAAGATTATTGTAATTTTTACTTGATAACTGTTTTGTTATATGTAATTTTGCTATGTTAAGTTAAAGCCTTCCTTTTTTTTTGTTTAAACAGAAAAAGGGGAAATGATGGAGGAAGGTCATTGGTTAATTATAATAAAGAAACTCCTTGGCCCTCATAGGTTAAAACATAGGTGGGAGGAGTAAATACAACAGAATGCTGGGAGGAAGAGGAAGTGAGCTCAGACGCTATGCTTCCCCTCTCTGGGCCAGATGCAATGAAGCAAGCTGCCAGGTCAGACCTGCTCAATCTTTCCCAGTAAGACTGATGCTACACAGATTATTAGAGATGGATTGATCGGAATATGAGAATTAGCCTGTAAGGGCTAGAGTTAATGGGCCAAGTAGTGTTTAAAAGAATAAAAAAAAACCACTCAAAGATAAAATCTCAAATTACAGAGGTAATAAATGTTTCCCTTTGTAAAGATATAGTATAAATTATTGGCAAAAGCTTTCCCCACATGTCCTCAGTGCCTGTCTGGAAGTAATCAGTGTTGAGTCCCTCATATTTAAATGATACCATACTATATATTGTTTTACAATTTGCCTTTTTGGTTGTAATATATATGTAATACCTTTTCAGATAATAGTAAAAGATAATGGGACCAGGTGTGGCACTCACCTTTAATCCCAGCTCTCAAGAGGCACTGACAGGGCAAATCTCTGTGAATATAAAGCCAGCCTTGTTTACATAGTGAAGCCCCTGCAGATATGCCAGAAGGAAGGTAAGGAAAAAAGATAAGATAAATGTAGGTAGTGGAAGAGAGATGTCTCAGTTAAGAGCATTGACACAGACCAGGGGGGGGGGGGCAAATTCAGTTCCTAGGAACAAAAGGGACCAACAAGAAAGC